GGCAGGGATCGACAAGCGGCGTGCGATCAAGGAGCTGCATGCCTTCTGCCCCATCCTCGCAGGTGCCCCGAAGAACGAGCGCAGCTTCCCCGCCGGCCTAACAGCAATGCTGAAGACAAGCGACTGCGCGACTAGCTACCCCAATCTACTGCGTCTCTGGGTGGCTGTCGCTGTGCTGCCGTTGAGCACAGTGGAGTGTGAGCGCGGCTTCTCACGCCAGAACGTTATCAAATCGTGGCAGTGGGGGAGCTTGAAGGACGCCCGCCTCGAAGACCTGATCATGATATCTCTACTCGAGTACGAGCCCAACTACGATGAGGTGGTGCAGATCTGGCGCAGCTACAAGAAGCGCCGCCCATTCAGCAATGTGGCGGCACCTCCAGCAAGAGAGGGGGAGGGCAGTGGTAGCAAGGGAAAGGAGGCCCTAGAGGAGGAGGAGTTGGAAGAATGTCAGGCTAAGGGAAGAGATGATGATGATGACAAGCAAGCCTCATCTGATGATGATTTCTGAACTCTCCCAGACCCAGAGTCATGCTTGATGCCTTACATAGCTAGCTAGCAAGATAGGCTTTGGTTTAGAATACAGATAGATTGATTGAAGGCTGCTTGCTTCCTTCCAAGTGTTTTCTAATTATAATAGAGACAAATAGTACTCTCAGCCTTTTTCTGTAGGGAACACTGATGCATCAGACTCTATTTTTTAAAAAACTGAACTTTCAGGCTTTTTTTCTAGGCGACCCTGACGATCAGTGTTTCTAGGCAGAGGGGCCCTGATACCCATACGTGCCCAAAAGTGAATCTGAGGGCCGTCGCCCGGATATCATTGCCCGGATATCATTGCCCGGCCCGGGTATCCTCTCCCGGATATCCTCTCTCGGATATCCTCTCCCGGATATTCTCTCCCGGATATCATCTCCCGCCGTGGAGCCCTGTCCTCAACACGCACAGCCGCACTGTCGTTCGTCTACTATAGTAGCTTCATTGATGCTCGCGGTGGCTTGCCCCCCAGCCTCAAGGAGCTGGGAGCATGTCTCACCAGCCGGACTACAGAGTGAAGTTTGATCAAGTTCCACCAGCACCAATGTACCCTTACACTTGCTATTTGGTACGATAAGTTCTAAAGGCTTTGAGATATGATGTATTGTTCCTGATGCCGCTTTCGCTTGCACAACAAACTGTATACAGCCAATTAATACATGTCGAAGATGACACAGGCTGTGTTGCAGGAAGACTAAATCAGGGATGCACAAGGAGGAGATGGTGTGACACTGTAGTACAGAACGTGGAGGAGCAGTGAAGTTGGTGGTGGTGGTGGTGTGGTTGTTTCCCCCACACCAGCCGACCACCATTTCCATCAGCACTGCATCAAGCAAGGCATAGGGCACCTAGACGGGCCATGGAAGTAGGTTTCTCCAGATATTCCCTGGGTGAGTCTCTGATTATTCTGGTGCGCTACGCAAGAGCCAGGAGCCTTCTTGCTGCAGCACAAGCAGGCAAAGGAGCGCCGCACAGACCCGTGTTCCCAGGAGTGAAGGAAGCCACGGGGAAGGCAGCCCACTGGGAGGGAAGCGGGCCAGACAGGTCGTTGCCCTGCACATGCACCTCGTGCAGCCCGTCTAGCTGGCCCAGCGCGGCGGGGATGCCCCCCTGCAGCTGGTTGAAGGCGAGGTCCAGCACCTCCATGCTGCGCATGCCCGCCAGCGATGCAGGGATGCCGCCCGACAGGTTGTTGTGCGCCAGGGAGAAGTTGCGCACCTCCGCCAGGTGGCCCAGCGCGGAGGGGATGGCGCCGGAGAAGGAGTTGTTGGAGAGGTCCAGCTGGTACAGCGTGTCCTTGCACCCGGCCAGGGCCGAGGGGATGGCGCCGTGCAGCTGGTTGCTGCCCAGGTACAGCGCCATCAGCCCCTGCTTCGCACAGCTGAACGCCGAGGACAGCTTGCCTGGCGTGTGGGGCGGGTGAGGGGTGTGGGCGGTGGAAGGGAAGGAGGGGAGAAAGGAGAACGGGAAAGGGAGAGTGGGGGAGGAGAGGGGCCAGGGTGATTATTGAGTCAACTGAAAGGTCAACCAGGGAGAGAAGGTGGGGCGGAAAAGAGAACGAAGGGGAAGAGGGCGTAAGCGAGAGATGTACAACTGACATGGGGGAGGAAAGGGAAGAGAAGGGGCAAGGGAATGGGTTATTGAAACGTGGGAGAAGAGAGGATCTCTGACCTGTGAGTCGGTTTCCATCAAAGAGTATCATTCCAAGGTTAGGCGCGTTTGCGAGGGCGGACGGCAGAGAGCCCGTGAGCTGGTTGTTGGACGCGCCCATCTGCTGCAGCTTCGGCAGCGACCCGAACGCGGGCGAGATGCCCCCCGTGAACTCGTTATCGGATAGCTCGATATAGATGGCTTCCGTCAGTGTAGCGAAGCGGGAAATGCTGCCAGTAAACGCATTTATGCCCAAATCGATGACTTGAAGGGTGTCTGATAGGCCAGTGAAGAAAGTCGAAGGAATGTGGCCCGATAAGCCGCAGTTTGCCATAATAAGAGCTTGTATCGAGTCAAGATTATCAAAGCTGTTAGGGATTCCACCAGTGAACTGGTTCACGGTTATATCGAGGTACTCTAAATGGGGAAGGTGGCCGAGAGCGGAAGGAAGCGCGCCGGAGAACTTGTTGGCGCGCAGGTCGAGCGACACGAGCGACGACATGGCGGATACCGTGCTCGGGATGGGCCCCGACATGCCGTTCACCCCCACGGACAGGGATGTCAGGGCCGTCGCGAAACGGAAAGCATTTCCGGGCAGACCACCCGTCAGTTGGTTGTCGCTGACGTCAATCAATTCAAGGTCGGGCAGTTTGAAAATCTGTGAGGGCAGGCTACCGGTCAGGAGGTTCGAGCAGAGCGAGAGGGAGTGGAGGCCGACGAGTGCTGACATAATCTCTTTCAACTGCCCAGTTAGCCTGTTCTGAGCCAAGTTCAACACGCTAAGTTTCGTCAGGAGGCTAAGTTCGTCGGGAATGTCGCCCGAAAAGTGGTTACCATCCAGCTCCAGCCGCTCCAACTGATCCAGATTCCCGAGATCCGATGTGAGCTGTCCCTCTATAAACGTCTGCGACAGCGTAATCGAAGTGACGCGGTCCGGCTCCTTCCCACCGCAAGACACGCCGTCAAACGCGCAAGCGGTGGGGCCATCGATCCAAGTGTCAAGCGCACCGAGCGAGTCGTTGGTGACGGCGGCCTTGAATGCGAGAAGCGCGGCGACATCTTCGGCGGGAGTGCCGGCAGCGGCCGCGGGGAGAAAAGCGGCGAGAGCGCAGAGGATCACGACGCAAAGGCGCGGGAGTGCAGAGAGGGGAGCGTGAGGGCGCGACATGGCGGCGCGGGGGGAGGCGGAAAGGGCAGATGGTCGTGCTCCGCACGCAGACCCAGAACGGCCGTAGCAGCGCGCGGTCAGGTAAAACAACGCGAGGGCGGCAATGCCGCGATGACGGCGTGAGAACGCTTAGTGTGAGGAGCTGGAAGGCCGCAGGGCCGCTTATGTGAGAAAGTAGGTAGAGAAAGCACTCGATAGTGGAAGCGACGAAAAGAATGGGCACTCAAGAAGATGAGCGGCGTGGATGAAGGAATGGAGATAGATGAGGTCGGATAACGGAAATGGACGTAAGAGAAAGCCAACTACGCGCCGATACGACAAACAGAAACGAGCCCTGCACATAAAAGGTTCCAATTACTCCCAAGGCGCTGCCTTGTGCTAAAGAGGCTCGGGGCGGATTAGATGGGAGTCGGAAAGGGAAAGGGCCCCCACAATGTTTTGGGACGGGGTCCAGGCAATAGGGATGGCCGAAGAACGCAGCAGCGACAGACACCTGGCAGGAGATTAGGCACCAACTGCGTCGCGGCGCGTCGCTACTATGTTTGGAAAACGAACGTCTTGTGTTCGTGGAATGCGAAGTTGCGGGGGACAAAGAAGTGACGCTGAGAGAGGAGGAAAATACGTTTCGCCAGGAAGCTTGGTTTCACGGAAGGTCTGCCACAAGGCTGCTGCCCCAAAGCAAGATCCCTTCCTGAAACCGGTCGGTCACAGACAGAAAATTTGCGCCGATTGGCCACGCAGCATTGCTGGCTGAAGAACGTTTTGTGAATGACGGGCAGAAAAAATTGCTTCCCTGCGACATGTCGCTCCCTCGCATACATACGTACAGTACAACCTCCACAACCTGCCCCTGCCGCTTCCCTTTCATACCCCTCATTACCGACAAAATCTCTATCTGGGAAGAAAAATGAGGAACAAGACGTGTCGCAAAATGCGCAATCTCCGCATCACTCAAACAACATGGCGGGAAAGCTGGAATTCTGTCGACTTGCGTGAGCCACGGCGTTCCCTGCTGAGATGACCCCTGAGGAAATCATCAATTTCCATCTTTCGAAGCTGTACATAAACTAGTGAACACGGAAACTTCATAGTGACTCTATTATGGTATCAGCAAAGTGAACGGGGTATAGGCAAATGTCGTCGTTACATACATTAGCGGATGCGCTCTTTGGCGACACAGCAGCTGCGAGTGAATCAACAAATATCCCCATCATTTGCTTCCCGGTGTGGTGTAGCGTGCAAAGTGGCATTCTTTATTGTTCAGTATGCTATGGTATTGCGGTTCGTCGACATTTTTATACGGTTGATCAGGTTTCAAAACGGTTGTATCATTTCCGAGGAGAAGCTTGCATTCGCCCCCACCATGGTGCTCAGCCCAACCAAAGCCCGCCTTCAACCCCGCACCTCAGAATGCAGCCAATATTGCAAGGCCCGCTAGGCTCCAGTTTCGTCGTGGGCTGCCAGCCTTCACCTCAGGGCACGCCTCCTGTCTGCCGCTCGCCGTACGCACGCGCTGCGGTTTTTAAACAGCTGGTGCTCTAGTGTAGACGGGCCGCTCCTCAGTTCCGATTTTTTCTCCCTCACTCACTCTCGTTATACGCATTTTATCCTGCTACCACTGCCCCCGCTTCGTCAGCATTTAGTTATGGCACACGCGGGTAATGCCACGTCAGCCTCTGACGGCAGCAACTGGGCTGCGCTCCTGCTGGCCGCAGGAACCGGCGCCGTGGTGGCGGCAGCCGCGTCGTACTATTTCCATTCGCAAGCGCTCGCTAAGTTCGCCGAACAGGATGGCAAGGTGCGTTTCGTGAATCTTTCAGCCTTGAAACGAAGGACGCGCGCTTCCTCGTAGCTTCAGGACTGGCGAATGAATCAGCAATTTCTAGGCGCTGTAACATTTCCAGGCCCAGTGATGTTGATGGAGCAGATCAGACGAGTCGTCTTGAGAGTTGGAATGAGCTCTGCATGAACAAATCTCCCCGTTTGTCGTCACACCCAAGAAGCTTCTCATGCCCATCGCATGCGAGCTTCGCCTCTTGGCATGCGAGCTTCGCCTCTTGGCATGCGAGCTTCGCCTCTTGGCATGCGAGCTTCGCCTCTTGGCATGCGAGCTTCGCCTCTTGGCATGCGAGCTTCGCCTCTTGGCATGCAAGCTTCGCCTCTTGGCATGCGAGTTCACTACCCGCCTACCTCGTTGCTCATCCCAACCGAGCTCCATTCCGTGTTGCCATGCCTGCTCCCTTCCCCTATGCGCTGCTCCCTAATCCCGCCGTGTTCCCCTCCTTGACCGCTGCCGCCCTTCTGTCTGTGATCCCACCCGCTGCTGCGCGTCAAGCCGTTGGCCTAATCCCGCCGTTCTTGCGCCCCCCGCCCGTTTCCTTTCCGCCATCCCACCTCCCCGCAGCTGAAGCCGCAGAAGACGCGCAAGGTGACGACCACCCCTGCCGCGCGCCGGGTTGCGCCCACCCCGGGCGTGCCACTGCGCCAGCAGCAGCGGACCCACCGAAACTCCCAGTCGAACGCCGCCAATCCCTACGCCTTCGACCCGCTCGCGGGCAGTTTCAGTCCGGGCAGCCTGCCCGGGAAACTGGCGTCCTCGCTGGACCGGCAGGACATGCAGGCTCTCAGCGCCGCGCGCCTGGCGGCGGCGAACGCGTCGGCGGCAGTGGCGTCGGGGCTGCGGGAAGGTGCGTGCGCTCCCTCCCGCCGTCGTCGCACGCTCATCCCGCCGCCGTGTCGCTGTGCGCGGGGCTTATTCAATGCGAGAGGGCGAAGGGCTCTCAAGCGCGCGGGAGGGGCTCGCGCGCGGATGGTCTCTGGCCCACTCCGCGCATCCCCCTCAGGCGGCCCCTTGCTGCGTGAGCGCTCATTTCCTCGCCCCCTCCGGTGAATGCGTTTCCTGCCCAACACCTCCTCCCTCCCTCCCTCCCTCCCTCCCTCCCTCCCTCCCCCCCCCACTTTACCCCCCTTCTTCCCCCAGGCAATTTCCAAGGCGACTTGCTTCCGCCGCGCTCTGTGAGCGCGCACTCGTCCGTGGTGGGGGGGCTGGGCGCGGAGGAGGCGGAGGAGGAGGCGGAGGAGGAGGACATGGGGGAGGAGGGGGAGGAGGTGATGGTGGAGGAGCTGGGGGACGGCGGCGAGGGGGAGGGCGGGGAGGGCGCGGAGAAGGAGGGGGAGGGGCGGGGGGAGGCGCGGGTGAAGAGGGCGGTGAGCGTGCAGGACAGCATTCACCACCCCGTGTCTGACCCCGGCACGGCGGACAGGCTTAGGAAGGCGCCAGAGGTCGAGGACTATGTGCGCCTCAACCTCTACCCGCAAGGTGCGCCTCAACCTCTACCCGCAAGGTGCATTGCATACGCTGCCTTCCCATTCCACCTCTTCAACCCTTCTGTTCTCTCCCACCCACCCTCAGTCGTCTCCCCCTCGCCGTTCTCGCCCATTTCATTTAAGGTATGAGTGTTGCTCTCCTCTTCCTCACCACAACTCCTCTCGCCCTCTCCGCCCTCCCTCACGCCGGTCGCCAAGCAGACATGCCGAGTGCGGAGGACGAGGAGGTGTGTGTGCTGCTGCAGGAGTGCCTGCAGCTGAGGGACAAGTACGTGTTCAGGGAGGCCGTGCCGCCCTGGCATGCCGACGCCAACGCCCTGCCCATGCCCGACCCCAGCGACCCCTTCCGCTACGACCCACTCCCCCCCTCCGATGTGAGTCGCCCCCTGTTGCCCTCCTAAGTCAGTCACGCCAGTGTCCCACGGGGCTTACGCTATCATTGCGTTCAAGCCACGTATCATGCTCTGCAGGTTTATAAGCAGGGGCCATGCGGTGAGAAGGGCCAAGAGGTTGTGCCTACACCCTTCCCATGCCCACCCCACACAACAGCCCTTTCGGTTGTGAGCCCTTGGATCTGCTATGGGTCTCTGCCTCTCATGTGAATCACTCGTTTGAAAGCTCAAGCGAAGCAATCTTTGTGTGTCGTGTCTTGCACTGTGCATGGTGAGCTGCTGGTGTGTGCCCCCTGCCATGGCATGGCAGCATGTGATCGAGATGGTGGATGGTGTGGTGAAGATATTCGCAGACAAAGAAGGTGAGTCAGTCACATGGTGTGAGTCAGTCACATGGTTCACTGATGCCGTGTCATCTTGTAGTGTATGCAGCAGTGTGTGCAACAGTGCGTGCAGCAGTGCATGATACCGCCACATCCGTTTCTGTTTTCCCCCACGCTGTAAACATCACATGCTAATGCGACCCCACATCTCGCTCTACCCCCAAAACCCACCAGCCAAGGAGCGGGGCGAGGAGCTGTTTCCAGTGCACGACGCGACAACGTTCTTCACCGATCTGCACCGCATCCTCAAGATCACCTCCCTCGGCCACGTGCGCTCCCTCTGTTTCCACCGCCTGCGCCTCCTCGAACAGGTGAGGCCGCCGCGCACAGATGAGCCGCGCAACAGGTGAGCCCACCACGCAGGTCAGCCGCCAAGCACACACACGGAAGCAGTACCCACTGTGTTGCTCCATTATGGGTGCGTGACTGTGTGGCTGTGTTGCTTACTCCGTACCTGCTGCTGCTGGGGCAATGGGGCTTGGTGCAATTGGTTGGGAGAGTGTGCAAGGATGCACGTCCCGGCATGAACTGTGACTCCACTGCGCTGCTTCTATGTGCGCCCCCAACCTTTCTGTGCCTATTCCCTCTGCCACTGCCCATTCTCTCCCCCGTGGCCCCCTTCTCGCCCCCTTGCCGCCCCCCCCCCCCCCCCCCCCCCACCAGCGGTACCACCTGCATCTGACGCTGAACGCGGATCGTGAGTTCAAGGCGCAGAAGAGCGCGCCGCACCGCGACCTGTACAACGTGCGCAAGGTGGACACGCACGTGCACCACAGCGCGTGCATGAACCAGAAGCACCTGCTGCGCTTCATCAAGTCCAAACTCAGGAAGGAGCCCGACGAGGTGACTACAGGGGGGTGGGGGGGTTGAAGGTTTGGGGGGTGGGGGGCGTGGGGGAGTAGAGTGGGGACAGGGCGAGGGTGGGGGAGCGGGGTGGACATGGATGGGCGGCACAGGGCGAGCAGCTATAAGTTTCGTTCAACCATGGGTTTCATTCATTCACTCAAGCGTGTGTGCCTTCCGATGCTCACATGCATGCGTCGTGTGTGCCTTCCGATGCTCACATGCATGCGTGGTGTGTGCGCAGGTGGTGATCTTCCGTGACGGCAAGTACCTCACACTCAAGGAGGTGTTTGAGAGCCTCGACCTCACGGGGTCAGTGCCCATCACATCACATGCACCCCCTGCCTCTCGCCGCCCCTCTTCATCTCAACGCCACCAGTTATGCATTAAAAATCACTCTCCGCAATCCAGCCTGTTGATCCGCTCAATCCTCTTCCTCTCCTTCTCCTCTCCCCCCCCCCCCCCCTCCCTTACCAGGTACGATCTGAACGTGGATCTGTTGGACGTGCACGCGGACAAGAACACGTTTCACCGCTTTGACAAGTTCAACCTCAAGTACAACCCGTGCGGGCAGAGCCGACTCAGGGAGATCTTCATCAAACAGGACAACCTCATTCAGGGTAACATGCCTACATGCTTCATTCGCCTTTACATTACAAGAGCTTGCAATGCTGACAGCTTTTCTCCTTGAACATCCCCTTCAGTTGCACGTTCACATTTTTCCCACTTGCCTCTCATGTCCCATGCCATCTGTTTGTTTCCCTTTAATATATTTCCCCTCGATACCTGTCTCCTCTTGCACTCAAACCTTTCCCCCTTTCTTCCCCTTCACCACCTTCCTCCCTTCCTATTGCCCCTTTCCCTACCACCCACACTCCTTTCCCCTGCCTCTCCCTCTTTCTCCCTCGTCTCGCATGCACGTCTCGTCTCTATCAACAACCTCACCATCTTCCAGGAAGGTTCTTGGCGGAGGTGACAAAGGAGGTCTTCACGGATTTGGTTGCGTCCAAATACCAGGTGAGGTGAGGTGAGGTGAGGTGAGGTGAGGTGAGGTGAGGTGAGGTGAGGTGAGGTGAGGTGAGGTGAGGTGAGGTGAGGTGAGGTGAGGTGAGGTGAGGTGAGGTGAGGTGAGGTGAGGTGAGGGCATGATGGTGAGGTGAGGGCATGAAGGTGAGGTGAGGGCATGAAGGTGAGGTGAGGGAACGATGGTGAGGTGAGTGAACGATGGTGAGGAGAAGAAGGTGAGGCGCTTGGGAGGCATGGTGCAACAAGCTTTCTTCGGCGCCACCTCATTCAATGCCATTGGGGGGGAGTGCTGTGTGTGAGTCCATCCGCATTCCCTCCTCTGTCTGCAACTCTGCGTCTGCTTCACGCCGCACATCCCATCACACCCCCCTCATTCCCCTACCTTATTCTCCCCTTCCTCCCCCCACCTTCCTTCCCCTCCCCCCTCCCCTCCCCCTCCCCTCCCCCCCGAGGGCAGATGGCGGAGTACCGGGTGTCCATCTACGGGCGCAAGATGAGTGAGTGGGACCAGCTCGCCAGCTGGGTCGTCAACAACGACCTCTACTGCCCCAACGTCGTCTGGCTCATCCAGGTGGGTCGTCTGGCTCATCCAGGTGGGTCGTCTGGCTCATCCAGGTGGGTCGTCTGGCTCATCCAGGTGGGTCGTCTGGCTCATCCAGGTGGGTCGTCTGGCTCATCCAGGTGGGTCGTCTGGCTCATCCAGGTGGGTCGTCTGGCTCATCCAGGTGGGTCGTCTGGCTCATCCAGGTGGGTCGTCTGGCTCATCCAGGTGGGTCGTCTGGCTCATCCAGGTGGGTCGTCTGGCTCATCCAGGTGGGTCGTCTGGCTCATCCAGGTGGGCGCACGTGGTTCTGCGTGGGTGTTGTCCTATCGCATTTCGGTTGTTACGAATCTGGCTGGATCGAAATGAGTGCCTCACCCAACGGTCCTTCTTCAGATTCAACCATCTCTCTCTCCCTCTCTGCCCCTCTTACCTATTTGCACCCTTCCATGCATACCAGCTCCCCCGGCTGTACAACGTGTACAAGGACATGGGCATAGTGGCGTCGTTCCAGACCATGCTGCTTCCCTTCCCTCCCTTTCTCCCTCTCTGACCCTGCCTCTATCCTCCCCCCCATCTCCCCCGTGCGTGGCAGCTCCCCCGGCTGTACAACGTGTACAAGGACATGGGCATAGTGGCGTCGTTCCAGACCATGCTGGACAACATCTTCCTGCCGCTCTTTGAGGTCACCGTTGACCCCTCCTCGCACCCACACCTCCACATCTTCCTCAATCACGTGAGTGCCACCTTACTTTATACACTGCATGGAGCAGTCAACGCCAGGCATGCTCTCTCACACGGTGGGCTGCGTCCTCTGAGTCGCTTCACACCCTCTGCGGCACCCCCTGCATGCCCCGTGCCTTGCCCTGCCCAACGACATGTCGCACCAGGTGGTGGGGTTTGACATGGTGGACGATGAGACCCACGTGTGACCCACGTGTGCCCCCCTCTGCGCCCCCCTGTGCACCAGGTGGTGGGGTTTGACATGGTGGACGATGAGACCCACGTGTGACCCACGTGTGCCCCCCTCTGCGCCCCCCTGTGCACCAGGTGGTGGGGTTTGACATGGTGGACGATGAGACCCACGTGTGACCCACGTGTGCCCCCCTCTGCGCCCCCCTGTGCACCAGGTGGTGGGGTTTGACATGGTGGACGATGAGACCCACGTGTGACCCACGTGTGCCCCCCTCTGCGCCCCCCTGTGCACCAGGTGGTGGGGTTTGACATGGTGGACGATGAGACCCACGTGTGACCCACGTGTGCCCCCCTCTGCGCCCCCCTGTGCACCAGGTGGTGGGGTTTGACATGGTGGACGATGAGACCCACGTGTGACCCACGTGTGCCCCCCTCTGCGCCCCCCTGTGCACCAGGTGGTGGGGTTTGACATGGTGGACGATGAGACCCACGTGTGACCCACGTGTGCCCCCCTCTGCGCCCCCCTGTGCACCAGGTGGTGGGGTTTGACATGGTGGACGATGAGACCCACGTGTGACCCACGTGTGCCCCCCTCTGCGCCCCCCTGTGCACCAGGTGGTGGGGTTTGACATGGTGGACGATGAGAGCCGGCCTGAGCGCCGGCCAACGAAGCACATGATAACCCCGGCGGAGTGGACCAACCCCTTCAACCCCGCCTACTCCTACTACACCTACTACGTCTACGCCAACCTCTACAAGCTTAATCGCGTGCGTGCCGTGCCTTCCTGTCACTCTCTTCTTCCTTGGAGGCGCCTCAAAATTGGAGCAACCCCTTCAATCCCTCTTATGCCTGCTGCACCTACTACGTCTATGCCAATCTCTTCAAGCTTAACCGCGTGCGTGCCCTGCCCTCCCCTTGCCCTGCCGTCCCCTTGCCCGGCCTCCCCTCGCCCTGCCCTCCCCTCGCCCTGCCCTCCTCTCGCCCTGCCCTCCCCTCGCCCTGCCCTCCCCTCGCCCTGCCCTCCCCTCGCCCTGCCCTCCCCTCGCTGCACTCTCATCCTGCCTGCTGCTGGTCCCTCCAAATGGCTTCTGCACACTTTTCACTGATGCCTTTGAACTTTTGCCATTCTCCTTCTCTATCCCCTTGCTCGTCCTCCCTTCACCCTCCCTCTCGTCCTCTCCATGACTCTTTCTCTGCACTTCCCCCTCTCAACCCCTCCCTGCCACACGCAAGCACAGCTGCGCGAGTCCAAAGGCCTCTCCATCCTCAAGTTCCGCCCGCACTCTGGGGAGGTGAGACAGGGGGGGTGAGCTGAGACGGGGAGATGGGAGGAGGCGAGATGGAATGGGAGGGGAAAGAGGGGGAGTGTGCGTGATCAAGTGAGGACCCGTGCGAGGTGTCACTGAAACCACATCACACAGCATTTCCCACAGCAACAAGCTTCTTCTCACCTTGCTCTCTGCCTTCCACTCCCCTCCTTAACCCCAGTTCCCCATCGAAACCCCGCCCGCCCCCCCATGCACCCCCCACGGCAGGCGGGAGACGTGGACCATCTAGCGGCCACGTTCCTGACGGCGCACAACATAGCGCACGGCAACAACCTGCGCCGCACGCCAGCGCTGCAGCACCTGTACTACCTGGCGCAGATCGGGCTGGCCATGTCCCCGCTGAGCAACAACTCGCTGTTCCTGGACTACCACAAGAACCCCTTCCCTCAGTTCTTTGCACGCGGGCTCAACGTGTCGCTGAGCACGGACGACCCCCTCATGATCCACCTCACCAAGGAGCCGCTCGTTGAAGAGTACAGCATTGCCGCGCAGGTGGGTGCAGCATCGCTGCGCAGGTGCGCCCTGCACACTCGTTCCACTGCTTCTCTACGCAGTTGATTGTTAAGCTCACTCACTCCACTCCTGATCTGCCCATGATTCATCTTACCAATAACACTTCAACTTCCAACGAACCCTGTCCACTTATGTCACCCTCCCAGCCCCTCCTCCCTCTTGTGTATCCCTCACCTCCTGCCGCATCTGAAATCATCGTCCGCTCATCCTGCTTTCCATTCTCGCGCTCCTCTATTCTCTCTCTCAAACCCACCCACCCCACCACACCCTCGCCTCTCCTCTTCCCCCCCCCTCCCTCTTCCCCTTCTCCCACACCAGGTGTGGCGCCTGACATCATGCGACCTCTGTGAGATCGCCCGCAACTCTGTCTACCAGTCAGGCTTCTGGCACCCCACCAAGGTATGCACCCCACCAAGGTATGCACCCCACCAAGTTATGCACCCCACCAAGGTATGCACCCCACCAAGGTACCTGCCTCGCCTGCTGCTGTGCTGCCGTGCTGCCGTGCTGCTGTGCTGCTGTGTTCCGATCCCGGTTTTACGCCTCATGTGTAGCAGTTGAACACCCCCCCCCCTTCTTTTCCTCCCCCTCCATCCTACACCTTCTTGCCTCGTCACCCAACTCCCCCTTATTCCACCCCTCTCTTCCCATGTATCCTCCACTTCTGCTCCTTCCTCACTGCCCATCCAAGGCAACTTCCGAGTCGACTCGTTGTGCTTCTCCCCATGTGCTTCTCCCCATGTGCTTCTCCCCATGTGCTTCTCTCCCTGCCTCCCCCCCCCCCCCCACCCCAGGCGCATTGGATAGGGCCGCGCTACTTCCTGCGGGGCCCAGACAGCAACGACATTCACCGCACCAACGTGCCACACATCCGTGTTGAATTCCGCTACCAGGTAGGCTCTGGGCGGCGAGCTCTGGGCGGCGAGCTGTGGGCGGCGTGCTGTGGGCGGCGAGCTGTGGGCGCTGCTAGCAGGTGGCGAGCGGGTGAGTGGCACATACGTCTGTCTGCTACCAGGTCATGACTTTGCCAGGTGATTTGCAAATGAGTACTTGCTTGAATTCACAGTCACAGAGCCTCTTTGTTGAGATGGTGCAAATGTGTCTGCGCCTTGACACTGTGTGTGCTGCATGTTCCTTCCTTCCCTTTCCCCCATGTGCTCCCCCCTCCTGTGGGCAGGCATGGGAGGCGGAGATGGAGTATGTGTATTTGGGCAAGGCCAAGCTGCCCCAGGAGATCGACTCCTGATGCCCCTCATGCCCCTGATGCTCCTGCTGCCTCTGCTGCCCCTGCTGCCCCTGCTGCCCCGCACCCTGCACCGCCTTCTCTGCACACGTGCTGCGCTTGATCCAAGCGGCCAACCCCTATCCAGGCCGGGTCAACCCCTTCCCCTTGCCATGCCGTGCATACACAAGCTGTGCCGAGTGCGTGGCAAGAGCCGTCTTTGTTGTATTGCATGGCGGGAGGTGCAGGCCTTTGTAATTAGCCCCTCTCTAGGCTACATTCTTTCTGCCCTGCAGCATGCTGCTGCATGTGACGCTGTAATAACTGCTGATAGCTTTAGGCTGTGTATGTCGATGCATGGCATGTTTAGTTGCAGCGTTCAGCACTAGTAGAAATCCTGCATGTTACCACTGCCCACAATACCACTCTATTCTCCAATACATGACTACTCTATGCTCTAGCGGTACTGTCACAGCGCCTCTTCAGCTACAGTCTCCAACGCTTGTCATTCGCGCTACCAGTGTCCACAGAAGTGGCCTCCCATCCGCCGCACAGCCCATTGTATGTGGTGGCTCTCGCAGTGCTTTCGAACTGCCTCTTGAGCCCCAGCGCCCTCTCAAACAGCCCCTCGTCCATGCCCTCCACACTCCGCCCCACCTGCGCTAGCAGCACCTGCAGGGGAAGAAGGGGGCAGAGGGGGAAGGACGAAGGTGAAGTTAGAGATGCCTCAAAGCCACCTACAGAGGTTGCAATAAACTCCAAGGAGGGGTTGTGATTGGCCCAGGCACACAAGAAGGCGGGGGAGAAGACGGTGGGCTTGGGTGGGAGCAGAGTGCGGGTTGGTACAGCGAGGGAAGGCAGAAGTGTGCATTCTTGATGCCAATCGGAAAGTGCACCATTGAGCAGAGACAACTTCTTGAGTGCTTGTAGAGAAGAGGTGTGATCTATCATGGGTTTTTCGGGACTGTTGTCAACTTAGCAGGAAGTCAGCAGGCAGGCAGGCAGGCACACGGCACCCCTCGGCACCAGCTCACCATCTTATCTTCCTCTGCCGCGTCTTTTCTCCAATCGACCTTGCCTAGAAACTGGAACAGGCTGTTGGGGCGCACGCCAGGTGTGATTATATGGGATGTGTCTACAACGAGCAGAGCTCCAGACCGGTCCTCTATCTTGATGATGGTGTCGTCGCCTCCTACTATTGGTCGGATTCTGAAGGGCGAGGCAAACGGGGTATTACGGATTGTATCATTCGCAATTCATTTTCTTTATTGATTCATGACAACTTTGCTAAGTGACACGATTTTTTAGAAGCGCAACTGTACCTGCCTGTGACCCTTACAAGCATCCCCGCTACGGATTGCCCCGCTGCAACCACTTCACGAACATGCATAATCCGTGCGCAGGGCAAGCCGTCGCTTGCGCTCGCCCTGCGGTGGGCGGAAGAGCGGGTTGGGAAGGAAAACGGAAGCTTCATGTGCGGCATGGGCGGTGTTTGAAAGCACTCGGAGGGGGTGGACAGGGAAGGAGGGGAGAGGAGCCTTTAGAAAAAAGCCTCGCATACATGTGCTGCTGCGGACTAGCGATCTCGACTTAGCAGTGCTTGCGTGCAAAGAGCTTACGACATTCTCCAATGATTGATAAAGTGCGTTAGGAGATTCGCATGATTGGCACCACGCCAACGCGAGTGACCCAGCTCGTTAGAACGTCATTCCGGCCTGGTAGCCCAGCCACATTCGAGCCTAGAAGTTCCGCAGCATGGCGCTGCTTCTGCGCATGTTGACCCAGAATCAACACTTCAGGCGCAGTTGCGGGATGGTTGGGAGCGTTGAATCTCGAAGACAAGTTGGAGCTCACTGATTCACTGAATTGCGGTTTGCTAAGATGATCGACTACCAGAATTCGAGATTGGTTAGGAATTCAGCGATTATAAATGCTTCCGCACTCTCAGCCTCTGGGAGACGATGAGGTGGTTTGCGTGATGCGGTACAAACAGGCTCCGATTCTTTTACAAAAACTCGCGAAAGTGTATGGTGAGCTATTCTTGGGCGAGTGCGTGGTTTTTTGGAGGCGATTCCAGCCCAAGCAAAATGAATCTAGTGGTATCTGTACCGTCCATTTTCTTCGCCACACCATAGTTGATTCGACTTTGTGCGACCGTCATATCTGTGCGACTGTGTGCGGCCGTGTGCGAAGCGAAATCTGACACTCATCGCGAAATATGGGAAGCCGCGCCAGGGTTTTGTGGCGGCCTGACAGATTCTGCGCGCCTGACCTGCTTCTGGAGACGGCGCAAGTCCGCCACCGCGTGCACTGGTGTTCGAGCTCTATTTGCGGGAAGGCGATTTTGGAGTTTCGGATTACTACTTTTCTGGAAATTTGGGAGTATGACCGATTCATCATTTTTTGGTTTTGTGCGGATCAGGCCGAGCTTAGGGCGCATCAGAGCTGGATGCGCCCGCAGAACGCAGCCAATATGCACAGGAATCCACTGAAACTTAGATACCAGAGCGGTTTGGGCTGACATGGGAGAAACTCGAATCAAACCAGAGCGGTGCCACCTTGAATCCTCCCGCGATCAGACGCCTCCCTACTTTTGTTACAATGCTCGCGAATCTCGTTCGCTGATGGCTTGTAACTTGTATTATTCTTCGTGCATGGCTCACTTCTTCCAGATAGTGAGGCAGTCTTCTTCCTGCATCATTCCTGCTCCACTTCAGTTCAGATCCCTGAGGTGAAGTTCATCCCTATCGCACAGCATCAACTCCAGTCCGAGGTTAGGGTTCCATTCTCCGCCATTGTTTTGGGTGGTGGTGTGGGTCTCTCAACCTTGTACCTGTCCTCTTCCGGCTCTATTTTTCGCGGTGTCGTTGAAGTCTAGAAGCCTCGTGTTTCAGCTTCTACCTTCAGTCACTCCGTATCGTTAGTCTGCAACCAGATGGCGTGAGAAGCCTTGCGTGATTCGCACATCAGCTGTGCGTGGAGGACCACCGTCGTGGATTCCTTTCTCACCCAATTCTCTGCCGTACGCCACACGTTAAATCTGCAGGAGTAACCGCAGCTTCACGAGAACATTGGTCTACAGAACGCGTTGACCCCATATCTAATTTTGGCCGTTACACCGTCATAGCAACAAGCGGCTTTGTCAGTTTGTAGCAATTATTCGTGTAAACGTCTCCTGCCGCGAGCTTACGAAGTTAAAGCGAGATTCGGCAAAGTTCTCCGCACAGAAGCCTGTGACTACAGCAGCACGCCATGGGTCCCTTGGCGTTACCCTTGACGACCGGCAAACGCTCTCTCAGATCCAGACGCGATAGGAACGTCTTCGCTTCCGTCGCTTATGGCCAGATCTCCGGCAGAAGTATCAAGAGCATCCGCCGTCTTCCGAAGCCTCTGTATCAAAGGCTCTACGCGTTGTCCCATGGCATGGCTGGCTTATGCAAGGACGTCGAATCGCACTTTTTGGCGAACGACCTAGAATCGTGCAGAAGTGTGATTGGTCGGATCTTTCGCAACATCGGGGAGTCTTCGAGTAGCAACCAGCAGAGCAGCCGCGACTGGTTCGTCTACTGCGGAGGTGACACCCTCTTCATCCGCATTCTCTCCTCGCCGGTCGCGAATCCTCGCGAAACAGATCGCGAAGGAGGCTCTTCAGCAGCTACTGAAAGACAGGGAGGCGCAGTTGGAGCGGGAGCGGGATCTGGCGGAGGGGGAAGAGTTGGCGGGGGGTCGCGGAACCGCCGTGGGATCTTCCGCACAGAGAGCGCGGAAGGATCGCGGGAGTCGGGGACGCTCCGAGAGGGGGAGGCGTCGCGCGAGGAGACGGCGCTATGGATGATGCGCAACGACTGCCTGGCGGTGCTGCGCGAGATGTGCTTCGCGTCCGCGTGCTTCTCCGAGGGGCTGTCCGTGCAGCGCCACTTCCTCATTCGCCTCTTCGCGCTCATGGAGAATAAAATCACCTTCGACTACGGTACGCACCATGCATGAACGCCATCCGTCGCATGCTTATCAGCGACACGTGCGGTCTCATCGTCTCAAGCACGAGATGCGTCTCTGTTATTCGAGTCGATTCGCTGATCCTGGTGCTGTAGTACTTTCCAGTTTGACAAGTTTTCAGCTCGTTCTTTCTCTTCCCCCATCTCGTTACCCGCTCATTCATGCACTTCGCGAATCTTAGTTCCGAGCACTCCATTCTCTGTTCGTAGCTCTTTCTAGCTCTTCACGCGTCACCTCGTTCCATGCTCCCCCGCGTCCCCTCATCCACCGCGTCGCAGCCGTCGCGCTAGCGGAGGAGATCCTGGCGGTGGGGGAGGAGACGCTGGATCTGGGGACGGTGCCCAACTTCGCGCGGCTGGTGCGCGGGCTGTCGGCGCGGCAGCTCTCCTTCTTCTGCCGCGTGCTCGCCATGGTCGTCTTCGAACCCGAGGACCGCGCGCCCGAGGTCTCCGCGCTGCAGAAGGGCGCGGACCCGGCGGAGCGCGCGGAGCGGGAGGCGGAGTGGGCGGTGGCGGACGGCAATCACGACGTGCTGCTCGCCATCCCCGACATCCTCGCCAACCTCGTCAAGCTGCTGCAGGTCGGGCCCTCTTCCGTTCATTGCCGCTCTTCGCTCACGCACCCCCTGCTCTGGCTGCTGTTCTGTTCTGTGCTCTGCTGTGCTGTGCTGTGCAATTTTGCTGTTCAGCCTCTGCTGTTACGAGGTGCTGGTGTGTGACTGGGAGTGTTCCAGAAAATGCATTTTTTTCGTATCACCCGTTCCGTAGTGATTGCCATCATTTGGTACATAATAACGATTCTGTGATGATTGTGTATCGTTGTGCATGATGGTGTATCGATTCTGTGGGCGGCAGATGGAGAGCAGCGGCGAGGCGGAGCTGTGGTCGCCCAGCCTGAGCGAGTGGCAGCCGCTGCTGGGCGACCTCATGGCCGGCGAGGACGAGACCGCCGCCGACTGGGGGCCTGAAGAGGACGACGAGGAGGACTATAACGAGGACGAGGAGGAGGAGGAGGAGGAGGAGCAGGAGGAGGAAGATGAGGAGGAAGTGTTGGAGGTGGAGGAGGAGGTTGATATGGAGGGCGAGTTGTTGGAGGAGGACGAGGTTGGGGAGGCAGAGGCAGAGGAGGGGGAGGGAGAGGAGGCGGAGGAAGGGGAAGGGTCTGGGCTCTACGAGGATGTGGAGGAGGAGATTGCAGGGGAGGACGAGGAGGACGGCGGGGAGGAGGGGGAGGTAGAGGACGGAGAGGAAGTGCGTGGAGGGGTGAGCAGGAGCGGGGGCGAGAGGCAGGGGCCCAGGTTAGGGAGGCTGTGGGGGGGAGGGGATGGTGCGGAGAGGGCGGGAGGTGCGAGGGAGAGGAGGGAGAGCGCGGGTGGGGGTGCGGCTGCGGGCGCGATTCATTTCATCCAGGGCTTGTTCGGCTGGGGGACGGGCGATGCTAGTACCAGCACTCATAGCACTGGCGGTGGCAGTGGCGGTAGTGGGGGAGGGAGGGAGGCGGAAGGAAATGGGGGGGTCAGAGGCGCGGCACAAGGTGCTTCGGAAGGCGCTGGCGCAGGGGGAGACGGCGGAGATGGCGGGGCGGAAGCCTCTGGCGCTGCAGGCAGGCAGGCGGGCAGGGGGAGTCTCTGGGGAGGGTTCGGGCTGTTTGGGGGCATAGGGGGACTTCGTCCAGGGGGAACAGGCGGAGCGGGGGGAGCAGCGCGGGAGGGAAGAGGCGGGGCAGGGGAAGGAGGAGAGGAGCAAGAGCCTGGTCCGGATGGCGGCGGTGGTGCTGTGGCTGTGAGTCAACGGCAAACTGGTGCTGCTGCACCTGCGGCAGGAGTGGCGCCACGCGGAGCAGCAGATACCACCCAAGGGCCCTTCTCCCCGCGCTCGCCTCCTGTTGCAGCTCCTCCCCCCCGCATGCCGCCGCTCCTCCCTCCTTCCCCCCATGCTGCCGTCCTGCCCTTCTCCCCACATCCCGCCATCCTTACAGGAACGTCCACCTCCCCCCCTCGACCACCCCCTAACCGCACTCCACCCACTGCTACCCAACCGGGAGCGCTTCCCCAAGTGAATACGATAGGCATCCCAATGACCGCCAACCCCCTGAACCTGCTCCCACTCACCGCGCCTGCCAACCCCGCCACTGCTGCAACCACAGCGGAGGCAGCAGGCGCGGGCATCCCCCCTGGCGCGCGGGTGATGGTGTTCGTGGGGAACCCACCGCGCCTGCTGGGGGAGGTGCCCGAGGGCGAGCTGGAGCCCTTCCTGCGCGCGCTGCCCCAGGGCGCGGTCACCGTTCTCAGGGCTGGCGAAATCGGGTTACCAGAGGGCGCAGGGCCTGCTGCTGTGGCGACGAACATGGCTGCTTCGTTCATGGAGCAGCAGGTGAGCGGTGGGGGTGTGACTAGCAGGTTGGGCACTGGTAGGGCATGGCACGGAACGTTATGGAAGGCATGGTAATACATGGCATGTGGAGCTGTTTGTGTTCAGCTCCATGCCTGGCATGTCCGTTCCCCCATCCAGAACAGCATTGCCCGTCATGCCCCGCTGCCTGGCAGCTTCTCATTACATTCTCTCTTCACTCACATCTGCCTCTGCCTCACGCTCTTCCCCCATCTACCCATGGCGTGGCAGCAGCAGGTGGAGGTGCTGTTTGTGTTGTGTGCGCTGTGTGGGGGCACGCGCAAGGAGGCGGTGCAGGACCAGCTGGCGGCGCTGGGGCTGGTCGGCATCCTCGTGGACTCGTTTGACCGCCTCAACTGGTCCGCGCCGCTGCCACCGCCCGCTGAGCCACACGGCATCCACGGCCCCGGCTGCTCCTGCAACCCCGAGTCGGTCAGTGCCTCTCCTCGCACTTCCTGCTTCCATCATCTCGCTGCTACTGCTTTCCCCTTCGTACATGTCCTGTGATCGTTTTATGCCTCTCTGCATCCACTTGAACTAACAACTCATGGCTCCGCGCCCTGCTAAGCCCTCTCAGAAGCCAGTGCATTTCTTTTATCCTTCACTTCGCTTGTTCTGGCCTCCCAACGCCTCTTCTCACCGCATTCCACCCCTCTGCGCCGCTCTGCACCCCTAGCAGGCCCTGAAGATCCAGTACCTGCGTCTGATCCACAACTTCTGTGACCGGGACGGCCCCAACCTGCACAACAAGCTGCTCCTCGCCTCCCCGGGTGGGGTACCACCGCCCCTCGCTGCTGGTTCCTCACCCCGGATCTCGGGGTCCGGTCTCGCTGCAAGTGCAAGCACCCCTGGGAGCACGACTGCTGGTGCTGCTGCTGCTGCTGCTGCTGGTGCTGGTACTGGTGTTGGGGCGAGCAGTAGTGGCTTTGGCAGTGGTGGCAGTAGCAGCTCCAGCGGTGGGAGTGTGCAGGGGAGGGTGCAGGGACAGGGACGGGGAGAGGGAGAGGGGGAGGAGCAAGGGTATGCTTTGGGTTTTGGGGCGAGTCTAGGGCGGGCGCTGGGGTTCTCCCCGAACCATTGGCTGCCTGCCTTGGGGATGAGAGATGGCGCGGCGGACTCTGGTGTGTTGCCCCAGGGCGCGGGAGTGGGCGCCAGCAGAGGAGAGGGGAGCAGTGCGGCAGCAGGAGGAACAGAAGCAGCACCAGCAGGAGCAACTGGGGTGGAGGAGGGTGGAAGCAGCGAGGAGGCAAGGAGCGAGGCGCTGATGCTGAAGATCATTCGAGTGCTCATGAAGGAGTCAGCGGACTCCGTGTACCGCTTCTGGCTGGCGTCGTGTGTGGAGGCCTTCCTGCGCGGCTCCAACCCGCGCGACCAGCACCTCGTGGCCGCCACGGGCCTCATGGAGCACCTCGTCGAGGAAATCCTCCGAGGCGCATCGGGCTTTAAGTGCGCGGCGTCGCTGCAGATCGACTTTGACCTGCTGGGCGAGCTGGTCAAGTTCAACCCGGGGTTGTTCCGGCGCCTGGCAGCGCTGGTGCAGGGGGAGCGGTTTGCGCGGTTCATAGAGGTGCTGGTGGCGCACCTGGTGGACTCCAACGTCTTCATCCGCTCAGTCATGCTCTCCCTCCACGCCTTCCGTACTGGTCTCCCCACCCCGCCCTACCTCGGCCCCTGCCCCACGCCCCCGCTCCCTCCTCCTGTGCTGTCCCCTGCGCTCCCATCCACGTCCGCCGCACCGCCCGCTGCCCCATCACTAGCTGCGTCCTCCTCCAAGCCCTCCTCCTCAAGCCCTGCGCCTGCCCTGCAGTCCTCTTCCGCTGCTGCTGCGTCTGGGGAAGAGGAGGCAAGGAAGGAATCGAGACTTGCTGCTGATGGTAGTGATGCTGATGCTGGTGACAGCAGGAGTGGTGGTGATGGTGATGGTGGCGATGCTAACAGCAGCTCAGGCGATGCCGCGAACAGAAGGGGCAGGGAGGGAGAAGAGGAGTCGGCGTTCAAGGGCGCACCCCCATGTGCCTCACCACTTGGGGTCGCTGAAGCCTCATCAGCAGCACAGACAGCAGCAGACAGGAAGGGGAAGAAAAAAGTGGAAGAAGTGGGAAGGAGTCCGGAGAGAGGGGGCGTGTGGGATTCAAAGGGGAAGGCGAAGGGGAAGGCGGTGATGGGGGAGGGGTCAGTGGAGGAGGAGGGGGAGGAGCTGGCATCACCGCTGGCAGCGTTCATGGAGTGTAACTCGGTGCTGCTGCTGCGCGACCTCATGCTCGTCGTGCGACTAGGGGACATCAACCAGGTCAGCGCAGCACACCGCCGGGGGGGGGGGGGAGGGGGGGGGAAGGGGGGGGGAAGATGTGGGGCGGGGGGTCGTGTGAGAGGGGTGTGTTGGGTGCATTGCGGACTGACTGTATGGGTTGTATGCTGCTGGGGTGTGTCGTGGTGGTGGTTGCATGGTGCGGACAGGGGGAAAAGCGATTGTTTTCATTTCCTCTGCATCTGTTTTGAAACTTCCTGTTTCTCACTCTCATCCCTTGTCCTCATCTTCCTCCGCTCTCCCTCCGCTCGCCTCAGCACAGCCTCTGTGTGCACCATTCTGACTTTTCCTTATCCCCAAACTCCCTTCCCACCCTTGCCCTGCCCTCCCTTCAACACCCCCCCCCTCCCTCAATGCAGGACAACATATGTGTGCTCAACACAGCCCTCATCTTCTTCATCTTCGCCAATCGCAACGCGCAGCTCCTCTCTCTGCTCGCCGCCCTGCGAGCCCTTGCCGCCGACAAGGCCCAACCTGCATCCCTTGCCGCTTCCACCACCCTCCTCCAACCCTCCTCCCCTTCCTCTCCTGCTTCCACGTCCTCCCCTTCATCCTCCTCGCCCTCCTCCTCGCCCTCCTCACGCTCACCCTCTTTCCTCTCCAAGCCTCCAACTTCTGCTCTTCTCAACCCCTCTCTGCTGCCCGACCCGGTTTCTTCCACGTCTGATGATTCGTCCTCCGGGGTCGGCCCGGGCAGCGTCATGAAAAACTTTCGGGCGCTGCTGGACTTTTGGCGGGAGTATTATCTGAGGAAGAGGGGCAGGGACTGTGCCAGCCTGCAGTTCTCCACCAACATTCCCTTCACCGAGTGGCTCCGAGTGGTGGAGATGCTTTGTGCTCCGCCTGACTGCCCGACATCGCTTTTGTACTGCCCGCCACTGCCAGCTAGTGGCTCGCAGTGCTCCTCTGTTGGGCTCAGGGTCGACCCCCCTCCCCGACGGTGCTGACTTGATTGATACCCCTTGTGTCATGGATGGACGTATACTGTGCTATAGTTAGCCGCATTCTCTGTTCACATGCAATAAAGTCTTCCTAAATTGTCAGTGGACATGGTGAGAAGGCATATGTCATGTCCAGGATGGACAGCTGTCAAAAGATTTCAGCTCTCATAGCTCAGTTGGTTAGAGCACCCGTTTAGTAAGCGGGAGGTCTTGAGTTCGACTCTCAATGAGAGCACTGACTACAGCTTCGGCTGTACTTCAGTTTGCTCCATAAGAATGGCCAACATTTCCTACCCAGGTCCAAGAACCAAGAGTTCAGCTTTTAGATGGATGTTTGCAGAGAAAACAGTGCTCTAGTTTAAATCACAGATTCTGCAGCACTTAGACCAGAGCAATGATCCACACATGCAACCTGAAGGGTGTGTCACACCCTCCATGCTATGTCCTCCATGCCCTCAGTTCTAACAGGGGCCTCTTAGTGGAAAAGAGAAGGCCGTACATTGTACCCAATCCTATCTAAAAGCTTCATATCTCCAACATCCGATGAAGCAGGGGGCTGGTGAAGCATCTTTCAGTTGATGAAATAAAATCTGCGCTGTGCCGTGACTGCCTTGGCGCCACCACAGGCAGAGGAAACTGCTGAGTGTAGTTTCCGTTCTTCAACCACGTTGGTGTTACAGCCCTCGAACCGCCAGCCAATGCAGAGTCGGATGAGTTTCTCTGAATCAGAGGCGGCGTGTTGCGTGCTCCCCCGCTCGTCGTCCCCGCAGGGTTAACGCGCATGACCGCGCGGCGGACGATCCGCGTGTCAGTCATGAACACGTTGCAGCTCACGTCCACCCACTCTCCCCCTTGGGAATGCCCGCTCGCCTTCGGGAGATTGTCACCCCAGCCGCCATGGCTTGCGATATCCGTGTCGCTTAATTCGTGTTGCACCGAAGTGTTCGCAGCAGCTGTGCCTGAAGGTTTGAAGCGCGGGCTCTTGGGGATGACGGGGCACGGTGAGCGCGGAGTTCTGGGGCTCACGCGCGTATTTTCAGCGCGGAATCCGACAGGTGAGGTTTGATCGGAACAGCTGCTGCTGCGCCGCCCGATGGGCAGCTTGAAGCGCACCAGCTTTCCCACCAGCGTCCGTTTCGTGCTGGCCGTCGGGGACGACAATTTTACGGATTCCGTCGAGGGCGTGGGAGGAACTTCGCCATCGTCTTCCAGCGTTTCTAACTGCAAACACCACACGTCGTGGGAGACAGGGGGGGGAGCGTAAGTGGGCCATTCTTTAACAAAGTGAATCTTAGCTGCAGGAACCGAAATATTTTACTTTTTGCTGCTTACCTCGGCCAGAATTGGATTTATGCGACTGGCTCGGATGATGCCGTCGCTGACGTCGTGCCGACGTGGCTCAGGATCCGCAGAGTCCCAGCTGGATGTCCTCCGCTCCGCCACGTGTTCCCAACGCGCGCGATTCTGCTCGAGGTTCCGCGCGGAGGCGGACCGCGCCATTTTAAACTCCTCTCCAGGCGCATCAAACGATGCGTCAAGAGCCTCCTTGGGACATCCCCCCGTGTCGTGCGGGGAGTGTGCACAGGCGAACGACCCGCATTGGAGATCCACCAACGAGACGACGCTCGCGGAAGGAGCCTCCGCCGCCACCGCCGCGGGCGGGGAGACTTGGCGGAGGTAGTAGGTGGCGTTGAGGTTGAGGACCCGCTGCTGCTGGAGCAGGGGGCCCGCGGACGTGCACGACAGCGCGTGGCTCGGGTAGTCGCACAGCACGTCGCACACGGTCAGGCGAGGAGTGTCGTAGAGTCGCACGGAGCCGTCGGGTAAGACGACGAGGACGGTGGGAACATCGAGACAGTCGTCGTCGGGGAGCGGGAAGGGCGAGTCGTGGTTGCATGCCGGTGCGCGGAGAGGGGAGTCCGCGCTTGTAGTGCGAACCAGCGGTACCGCCATGGCTGCTGCGGAGGAGCGCGACGTGCTCTTGCTACTCAAAGAATTAAAGGGTTCGAGAACAATCGGTTGGGACAACTGAATAACCCCGGAACAATGTGGAGGCACGAACTCGTGAATGGCCGTTGGACAAACCCATGGATTTCGACGTCCTCAATTTGAAGTCGTGCTGGTGGGGGGAAGGCACCATCTTGGCACCAGGACTTTAGAATAGAGGCGCTCCTGCGTAGAATCACCGAGACGCGTTTCGAGAAGAGTGACAGACAGAGCGGCGATGGGCTGAGAGAGACAAGGTCTAAGCTGGAACCGATGGAGAAAATGATAGTATGGGGGATTAGATTCAGCCACCACCACCACCGCCACAGGTGACAGAATCATCAAGCGACGGCGACATGGAGATGGGGGGCGAGCGGGATGCATGATCGCGCGGACAAGACATGGAGCGCGATTGGTGGACAGGTTGGCGGACCAGCTGCGGAGAGTGACGACTGGCAAATGTCTAAAATCGCAAGGAAGTCGGAATCTGTGTGTCGCACAAGCACCACCAATTTCGTACATGCGGCCGCCCAATGAACGACAGCCCCTGCCCGTATCGATGTGCTGTGCGACAGCTGTGGCTCTCCTGGGGAAATCAGGTCCGCGCACGCGGAGCGCATACACTCCGCTTGCACAGAAGCGTCACCAGGCTGGAATGAGGGTCCTTGCACCTAGCCGAAAAGAGCTGAAGATTCACGAAACGAGTCGGGGGAACAGAAGAGTTTTCCTTGAATGGCGTTCGCTTGCAAACTAGACGATGATTTTCTCATTCTGACTACATGCAAATCATCTACATTGTACAAATCACACTAATGCACATCATCCCTGCAGCTGCTTCAGCAGCTTCAACCACAGATGGAGGTGCCTTCCCTGTTTTACTTCATCACCTTTGCCTTGCGAGGAAGCCTCCGCTACTTTCACAAGCTCGTTTTGAGAAAGTCCATTTGTTGACTTTCCGCCATCCACAACCACGATGTCTGAGCTCTGCGCAGTGTCACTCAGCTGTGGCGATGATGTTGAAGCAAGTGACTGGATGGCCTGAGACAGAAATTTTGTGACATTTTCCTCGTGTGCACGGCCGAGGGATACTGCTGCCTCAGCTGCCTTTCTCACCAAGGACGGCCTGAGATCGCTGCTGCTGCTGCTGCTGCTGCTGGTGGTGCTCTGGCAGCTGCTGCTGCTGTGGCTGCTGCTGCCAGTGCAGAAAGCATGAGTTAGATCCTCTCCCCCACATCCCCCCTCTGCCAGCACTGCCATGAGCACCACCATCACATCACACGCCACTGATCGCAGTGCCACTCCACCGCCCTCCCTCGACCTGTCAGATTGTGCCACCTCTGCAATCCACGTCAGCACTGCCATTCTCACTCGCTCTCTCGCAGAAAGTGCCGCACCTGAGCATGCCGATGTGGCAGTGCTGTGCGTGCTAATAGATGCTGACGTGGATTTGGGAAGAGTTGGGGATGGCGATGGAGCCATTACGGGAGAGTGAGAGAGTGGGTGTGAGGAGGGGGGTGAAAGCGCGTGTGGAAGAGAGGGCGAGGGGAATTGCGTGTGTGGTTGGGGTTGGGTAGAGGATTTGGGAGCAAGGAGGAGATCGGACCGGGACATGGGGCGCAGGCGGCTCGTCTGAGTTGATTCGGTTGCTGAATCTGGCACTCTAGGGAAGAGGCGGGAGAAAGCAGCTTTGGCAGCAGGGGAAACCAGAGAGCTGGAAAAGATGCGGGCTGCCCTTGCTGCTGCTGACGTGGCTGGTCCCACTGCTGATGTAGCCATTGGAATGAGTCCAATTTCAGAGCTGTTTAACCCTCCAGGTTCGGTAGCGAGGCTCGGCGACGCTATCGAACCAGAGTCTGGTACGGGCCTGAGGGTGAGTAGCCTCGTGAGATCCACGGGACTTGGATTGGTGAGACGCCGAGAGGAGATGGAGGCAAGGAAGGGGGAGGGGAGAGAGGAAGGAGAGCGGGAGGGAGGGAAGTGGGAGGAGGAGGGAGAGAAGTGGGAGGAGGAGGGAGAGAAGTGGGAGGAGGAGGGAGAGGAGTGGGAGGAGGAGGGAGAGGAGTGGGAGGAGGAGGGAGAGGAGTGGGAGGAGGAGGGAAGAGAGGGACCCTGGAGGAGCAGGGCGGCCATGAGCGGCCAGGAATCTTCTCGGATCTTTCTGGCCATGAAGGCATCGTCACACGTTGTGGAGAGGGCTGTGATGACGTGGATGGATGAGATGATGAGCTGGCAAAGGAAATGGGCAGAGGGGAAGGGGGAAGGAATGGGAGGAAAAATATTAAAATACTGCAAGGCTGAAACGTGGAATGACCAGGAAAGATGACGGAACGGGATAGGCAAGAGCAAAGAACAATATAACGCACCCAGCGGATATGATCAAACTTGGAACGGGCTCGGCATTGACTGATTGGAACTGCTATTAGGCTGCTGGGTACTCACTGCAGGGTGGCTCCTCTTGAGGCCAGAGACAGCGTGGGGCCAGATCATGTGCACACGTGGCAGCAGCCAATTGGTCTCGTCCCTCACAGCATCCGCCACCTTGAGAGCATCCTCTGTGTCATGCATGGCTGCCACGTCATCCTGGAGAGATGCCAGGTCAGCTCGTAGCCCTGCCACATCATCCTCCAACCAGTCCAGCAAACCGCTGCCCGGACCTCCACCCAAACCTGCTCCCAAACCTATGGCCGGATCTGTACTCAAGCCTGAGTCCTGCAGAACAGTGAGGTGTGTCTTAGCTCGTTTCACTCTCAACCGAACCACCTCCCTCACTGCCTCCAGCTCATTGGCCCTCGCACGCTGCGCCACATCAGCTGCTGACATGGCGGCCACCGACGCCTGCACCACGTCAGCAGCGAGCAGCGCCAGCTCAGCGTCGCGACTGGCCATGAGCGGCCCACAGGCCTCCAGGCAGGCGGCTGCCAGCTGTGCCTGCATGGCCACCACTCTCGTGCGATCTGCCAGATGGTTCAACGCATGGCGCACGCTCCACTGCTCACTCTCCTCCCTGCCCTCGCTCCTGCTTGACAACCCAGCCGCATTCCCCCCTTCCCGTGTCTCATCCTTGTCACCTCCCTCTGAATCTGTATCGGACTTCAACTTGTCCCACTCCTCATCACTCGAATTCCCCTCTCCCTCCCTCTCCTGCTCCTTCAACACCTCGTCCTCCTCCTCCTCCTCCTCCTCCTTCCCCTCCGCTGCCTCCGCCCCGCTCAGAGTCCCCTCTTCACGCACGGCAGCAGCAGCAGCGCGCATGCGGCGGGTGAAGAAGGCTCGCACGGCTGCAGGTGGGGTGCGCAAGAGTTTAAAATGTTTCTGAAAATCCTAACATAAAAAGTGCTGGGAGGAGTGGTGAGAGCAAAAGGACAAAGAAACAGGTGCAGGAAGACCAAAGGTTCAAGTTGGTGGGGGTTTGAAGGGGGGTGAAGGGCTTGCACACCTGGATCAACAGATGACTTTGCGTCCCTTGCACTGCCACTGTCTGCGCCACCACTGCTGCTGTCGCCACCACAGAAGCTGCTGCTGCCACTGCTACTCCCTTGAGCAGCAAGCTGGGGTCCACTGGTGGCAAGAGAGCATGCGGGACCTACAGCTTCAAAGCCACGGCCCGCACGGTTGAAGTGCACGTTAGGCTTATCATGGCTGCTCAGGTGGTGATGTTCCCCCCTCCCTTCCTCACCACCACATCCCTCCTTGGCTCGCCTCAGCTTCCGAAGCTGCTTGCGCCGGGCCCGCTCCTCCCTCCAGAGCACAGCTATTGCTGCCGAAGCTGCAGCTTCGGCGTCGGCGCGCTTTGCTGATGTGGAGACGGCACAAGCTGACATCAGCACACGGAGCACCTGAACGAGTGTGACTATGTGGGGGGCGTGCTGCAACCGAGCGGTGATTTGCAGTGAGGCCAGGACAGAGCGAATCTGTAGGCGAGGAAAGAAGGATGAGGGAAGGGGCGGAGAGGGCAGGGAAGGGGGTAAGGGGGAATTTGAGAAGGGGGAAGGGGTAAGGCGGAAGGGGGGAAGGGAGATGGGGTTGGAGGGAAGCCAAAACAGTGCTTATAAGCAGTTATTAGACCTCACTCACCTCACTGGACTGGTACCACCAGACAAAGGGGGACCTCATGAGATGTCATTACATTATGTTAATTCATAGGCAGCAACAGGTAGAATTGATGGCAATTCCTCATAAAGTGAGTGATGAACAGCATGGTTACCGGGTGGATGATCAGAGGCAGCATGCTCTCAAACGCCGATGGCAACACCGACGCCGCTGTCGCTGATGCTGGCACCGCTGACGCTGCTGCTGCTGCTGCATGCTCCACAGGCAGTGCAGGGCCGACAGGCGCCACAGGGATTGCAGGGGTGGCGGGCACGAGGGGCAGGAGGTGCATGAGGGCGAGCAGGAGGCGGGGTGCGGAGGGGTGGCAGTGCAGGGTGGAGAGGCCAGCGCACACTGTGGCAATGGCATAGTCCATGTTGGCCGCTACGAGTGCAGGCACCTGCGTAAGAGGGAGGGACATTCGCACGGGGGGCACAAGCAGGACGTGACAGGCGTGAGGCCGTGCTGTGGCACACGGTGGCAACGGCATAGTCCGTGTTGCCTGCTACCAACGCCGATACCTGCATGGGAGGAGGGAGATGTGAAGAGGAGACACACACAGCGACAGGCATGAGAACATCGCACACCAGCGTGGTGATGGTGTGGGCTGCAGCAGCGGCAACGACGAGAGGGTGACGGGAAGGAGAACGGGCAGTGCTAGGAAGAAGAGAGGTAGCAGATGACGTACCGAGGGGTACCCAAATGAACGGCTGATGGAGGAGAGGGCATGTGAAGCAGCGGAGGAGGCGCGGGCGTGGGGCGAGGCGAGCGAGCGCAGCAGAGGAGGGAAAGCACGACGCAGCGCACCGGAGTTTGTGGCATGTGATTGGCCGAGAGCTGAGAGCGCTGCTGCGAGAGAGAGGAGGAGCACCTGTTGTGAGAAGGGGAGGAGAGAAAGGTAAGAGCACAGGGGAAGATGAGAAGATAAACTGGTGCACAGGGGGATATCGGAGCTGTGCCAACATCCCTTTCTGAGTCTCTGCTCCCCACTCACCGCTTGCAGGTTGGCGTTCTCGTTGAGCCTGCGCATCAACCCCCTCCGCTCCTCCTCATCCATCCAATCCCCCACAGCACCGCTCTGCACCGCTCTCTTCCCCCCCTGCGTGACATCCACAGGCAGCTCCCACAGGTTGTCGTTCAGCAGCTCGCCCAGCACTGACTGCACCACCGGACCAATCACCGCATGCCACCTGTCCTCCCTTTGCGCCACTGCCTTGAGCTGCTGAGCTTTCTCCTCCTCTTCCTCCCTCTTCTCCTCCACCGGCACTGTTCCACTTCCCACCTCCACTTCCTCGCCCCCGAAAGGGGGATCCCACGGCTCGCCACTGATGCCAGCAAGAGCTTCGCTCAGTGCCAACAGAAAAGATGAAGCTGCCCGGGCAGCAGAAACCTGCCCTGAAAGGTCCTGCTCTCCCTCATTCCTTTCCTCTCCCTCCTTCCTTTCCGCCCCATGCTTCTCCCCATCCTCTTTACTCCTCCCCCTCACTTTCCTTCGCCCCCCCTCCTCCTTCCCTTGCCTCTTGCCCGCCTGTCCCCTCTTCCCTCCCTCAACTCCTTTTCCCATCCCCTCCACATCCACCCTTTCTTTCTTCAACGCCCGGGCTCGCCTCCTCTCCCTCCGCCTCTCCTCCCCGATTCTTCCCACAGCCTCTCGTAGACCTTCCAAGAGTGGCTGGAAAAGGGCGGGAAGGGCCCCCATTGGCTGCTGCCATGCCATCAGCGCACCACCAACACCAACACCTCCAGTATCAGCGGCGTCAGCAGCAGCAGCAAGGCGAGCAAGAACTCGAAGGAAGCAGCAGAACCAGAGGAGAGAAGGTTCAGTTGCATCAACAGCTAGAGCCCCTTGCAGCACACGCACTGAGTGCTCTGTCGCTCCACTGAGGTCAGATGATCCATTCAGGTTGTGCCGCCCCTCGTGATGATCCAATACCGCCCAGAACCACCGTTGCCATCGCTCCTCCTCGCTCTCCTCTCCTGTAGCTGCAGAGCGTAGCCCTGATGGAACACCTGGGCTGGGTGGCACAACACCTGCGGATTCACCTGACGCAGAAGCTGAGCCGAGCAGTGGTGGAAGGGCGAGGGCAGGAGCAGGAGAGGACTCGAGCGTGTGGGGGCTGCCGGGAGCAAAGGGCAGATGGAGAGAGATGGCCGTGGTGAGGCGTGCAGAGAAGGCCTGGCGTGGTGGGGGAGAGGAGGGGAGTGGTATGGGTGGGAAGGGATGATGAGACGATGAGAGGGAAGGGCGTGCAGGAGGGGGGTGATACGGTGGATAAAAAGTGTTTGGGCCATCAACAGAAGGCAATGTTCGGCGGATGCATCACAAGTGGAGTGGAGTGATGGCAGGAGCATGCAATGCAAGAGGCTCACCGGGTCCAGGATGTGGTGCGCCGTGCGCAGAGGCCCTGCTGTGATGACGCACGCTGAGAGCACTCGGAGAGAGACCGTGGTGGCTTGCAGGTGCGAGGCGGAGGAGATGGGGGAGATGGAGGGGGAGAGCATGGGCGATGGAAGCAGCGGGGAGTGGAGGGGCAGGGAGGAGGGCGGGAAATGAGAGGTGGGCGGGGCGGGAGTTGCGAGGAATGCCATGTGCCTGTTGTGGTGGGGGTGGGCAGGGGAATGCAGCAGGGAGGGACAGGGGGAGGTGCACCTTGTGGTCAGGGGGAGGTGCACCTTGTGGTCAGGGGGAGGTGCACCTTGTGGTCAGGGAAAGGTAGCAGGGAGGGACAGGGGGAGGAGCACCTTGTGGTCAGGCAACTCAAGAAAGAGAGTGGTGGGCACACGCACCTCCACGTGCGTGCGAGCAAGTGTGCAACAGATAAGCACGCTCCAGGGCAGACACTCAAACGACACCCTTTGTGGCCACAGGACAGGACGCACCTCTCCACCATCTCCGCCAGAACCACATTCGCCACCTCGATGCACCCTGTTGGGCCTGCTCCTATACACTTGTGAGGCACTGCCCCACCAGTAGCCGCTCTCACTGGTGGTGATGATGGCGGTGCTGGCTTGCGGTCAGTGATGACCGCACGGGCAAGGACGCAGCGAGCAGAGGAAGCAACGGAGGGCCAGTCGTCAGAGGCGAGAAGGAGGAGGCACTCCTGCACGTGATTGAGAAGCACAATGCGGTTGCAGGGGGTTAATCAAAAGAGAAAATGCAGGTAGAGTGGTGCATATGCTGGAAAATCTCTCCTTCCTGACTTCAACACACGGACGAGAACCGACTGCAGCGACGGGTGCGAGATGATGCTTGTGCATTGTGCTGATGCTGATGCTGATGCTGATGCTGATGCTGATGCTGATGCTGGTGCTGATGCTGATGCTGATGCTGATGCTGTTGCTGATGCTGATGCTGATGCTGATGCTGATGCTGATGCTGATGCTGTTGCTGATGCTGATGCTGATGCTGATGCTGATGCTGATGCTGATGCTGTTGCTGATGCTGATGCTGTTGCTGATGCTGATGCTGATGCTGATGCTGATGCTGATGCTGATGCTGATGCTGATGCTGATGCTGATGCTGTTGCTGATGCTGTTGCTGATGCTGATGCTGATGCTGATGCTGATGCTCATGATGTTGCTGATGCTGATGCTGATGCTGATGCTGTTGCTGATGCTGATGCTGATGCTCATGCTCATGATGTTGCTGATGCTGATGCAATTGCTATTGCTGATGCTGATGCTGATGCTGATGCTGATGCTGTTGCTGTTGCTGATGCTGATGCTGATGCTGATGCTGATGCTGATGCTGATGCTGATGCTGTTGCTGATGCTGATGCTGATGCTGATGCTGATGCTGATGCTGATGCTGATGCTGTTGCTGATGCTGATGCTGTTGCTGATGCTGATGCTGTTGCTGATGCTGATGCTGATGCTGATGCTGTTGCTGATGCTGATGCTGATGCTGATGCTGATGCTGATGCTGATGCTCATGCTCATGATGTTGCTGATGCTGATGCTGATGCTGATGCTGTTGCTGATGCTGTTGCTGATGCTGTTGCTGATGCTGATGCTGATGCTGATGCTGATGCTGATGCTATTGCTATTGCTATTGCTGATGCTGATGCTGATGCTGATGCTGATGCTGTTGCTGATGCTGATGCTGATGCTGATGCTGATGCTGTTGCTGATGCTGATGCTGTTGCTGATGCTGATGCTGATGCTGATGCTGATGCTGTTGCTGATGCTGATGCTGATGCTGATGCTGATGCTGATGCTGATGCTCATGATGTTGCTGATGCTGATGCTGATGCTGATGCTGTTGCTGATGCTGTTGCTGATGCTGTTGCTGATGCTGATGCTGATGCTGATGCTGATGCTGATGCTATTGCTATTGCTATTGCTGATGCTGATGCTGATGCTGATGCTGATGCTGATGCTGTTGCTGATGCTGATGCTGATGCTGATGCTGATGCTGTTGCTGATGCTGATGCTGTTGCTGATGCTGATGCTGATGCTGATGCAGATGCTGATGCTGATGCTGATGCTGTTGCTGATGCTGATGCTGATGCTGATGCTGATGCTGATGCTGATGCTGATGCTGTTGCTGATGCTGATGCTGATGCTGATGCTGATGCTGATGCTGATGCTGTTGCTGTTGCTGATGCTGATGCTGTTGCTGATGCTGTTGCTGATGCTGTTGCTGATGCTGTTGCTGATGCTGTTGCTGATGCTGATGCTGATGCTGATGCTGATGCTGATGCTGATGCTGATGCTGATGCTGATGCTCATGATGTTGCTGATGCTGATGCTGATGCTGATGCTGTTGCTGATGCTGTTGCTGATGCTGTTGCTGATGCTGTTGCTGATGCTGATGCTGATGCTGATGCTGATGCTGTTGCTGATGCTGATGCTGATGCTGATGCTGATGCTGTTGCTGATGCTGATGCTGGTGCTGATGCTGATGCTGATGCTGTTGCTGATGCTGATGCTGATGCTGATGCTGATGCTGTTGCTGATGCTGATGCTGATGCTGATGCTGATGCTGATGCTATTGCTATTACTATTGCTGATGCTGATGCTGATGCTTATGCTGATGCTGCTTACCAAATTTCTTCCCAACCCGGACAGGGTGGACAGATAGAGGGGACAAAAACTGAGGGACTCACGAGCAGCAGGGGGTGCGAGGTTGAGAGGGAGCAGGCGCAGCGCAGCAGCAGCTCCCCGAGCATCTCGACTAGTGCATAGCGGACCATGGGCGCGGGGAAGTGCAGCACCTGAGGGGAGGAGGGGGACCAAGGTGAGGTGAGGTGAGCACACGTGCAGGGGAGCAGCGGAGAGCAGCAGAAGCACTGTGCAGCCAGTGTCGAGTCGGCTCGCAAGTCAGCCCGGCAGCTGGCGGAGGCAGGCGAGGCGAGGAGAAAGTTCATACATGAGCGCAGAGCCGCAGCATTGTATACCGTCACGTCTCACCTTGGGAAGCACTTTCTGCAGCAGCACGTGCACCTTGGCCCCTGTCTCCCTGCGCCACGCCTCGTCCCTCTCCACTCGCAACACCACCATCCCTCCCCCCGCCCCTCCTCCTGCCCCCCTTGCCCCGCTGTCTCCTCCCCTCCCACCCTTCCCTGCACCACCTGCCCCCGCACGCCCCACACCTGTTCCCACGTGTGCTTGTGAGGAATTACTCTCTTCTTCGCACCGCCTCCTCACACTCACTTCCCTCAGTATCACCGCGCCTTCCCCCGTCCCTGCTGCGCCGCTTGCCTTTTCTCCTTGCAGCTCCCCTGCTGACCCCACCCCCTGCTCTCCCAACCAGTCTTCCTCTCCTTCCCCCCACTTCCTCCCCTCCCCTCTGCGCCCCTCCATGCGACCCACCATCTGCTGCAGCATGCTCAAAGCCCTCTCCTCCTCTGTCACCCCACTCTCACTCCCTTGCCCATTCTCCTCCCCTTCATCCTCGTCACGTCCATCCTCGCTATAAGCATCCCCCATGACCAGCACTAGCGCCTGTGACAGCCCACGCAGCGCCTCGGCCACCGCTGAGGGGTCCGCTGCAGCGCCACGTGTCAGTGGCTCATTGGAGAGCGGGGAGAAGGGGGCGAGGGCGGCGCGGGACAGCCCACTGAGGATCCCCGGAAGGAAGAAGGCGAGCGCGTCGGGTGTGTGCGCCTGCGAGTGTGATGGGGTGTGCAGGATTAAACGGAATGGGGTGCGGAAAAGGGCAGGGAGCAGTACAAAAGAGCGGATAAGAGAGGGTGAGAAGTCAGGTGTGTGTGCGTGAGGGCGGGAGACAAGGGGCGCATGAACATGGAAGCGACAGGAGATGATGGCATTGATCTAGCTGCTAGCACAGACAGGAACCATGTGCAAGGCCTGCCACACGCACTGCAACCATGCACGCACGCAAGCAGGCGAGTGCAATGCAATGCCCCATGGCTCACCGCATCCACGAGCAGGCGCACAGCTCGCAGTGCCTCCACTCGCACCTCCTGGCTGCCCCTCGTGCCCACCCGCGCCTCCGCCTCTGCTGCCTGTGTGGTCGGGCATGTGGGGAGGGGGAGAGGGGACATGCGCAATCAGCATGTATGTTGGTAGCATCAGCTGTTGTAGCCGGCAGCCAGGTGGAGGCGATACAAGAAGCTGCCTTTCCAATCCAATCAATGGAGAGAGCCAAGTTCTTGCTTAGATAAGGTACGTGGCGGTTGCACCAACGAAAGCAGCAACTGTTACACTGCGTCAGAGCAGCACGAGTGGTGCACTCACAGAGAGCATGTTGGAGAGCAGGTGACCCAGCAGCGGTGCTGCCTCCTGCGCCTGCAGCACACCAGCCACACATTTGCTGCTCACACCACCACCACTGCTATTGCTGCTGCTATCGCTGGTAGCACTGGTGCTTTGGCCGCTTGTAGCAGCAGCGCAGCAGCAGGAGGAGGGCGAGCAGCGGGGGAGGTGGGAGAGGAGGGCGGAGAGGCAGCGCACTGCCAGCAGCCGCGCCTCCTCTGACTGCGCAATGCCCGCCATGCTTGCAAGGGGTGTTGGCGCTGACGGTGGGTGTGCCGCTGATGGAGTCACCGCTCCTGATGATGCATTGAGAGCAGGCCCATCCGGGACACTTGAGCAAGTGTTTGAGGTGTGGGGTGGATGGGGAGAGGGGGTGGTGGCGGATGCGAGGAAGCGCAGGAGGGAGGCGGCCTGGTCGTGCGATCGCACAGCGCAGCGGGTCAGCGCAACGTGCATGCAGCTGAGGGCTGCTTCCACCACTCGCTGCCTGCCACGTGGCTCGATTCCAGCCACACGCTCGTTCTCTGTCCCGCTGCCGCGCCCCTCGCCTTGTGCGGGTGAAGCAGAAGGTTTGGAAGCAGCAGCAGTGGAACTCACGGTAGCGAGGGAGGCGGGGGCGGAGGGCGGAATGGTGGAGGTGGGGATGGGTGGGGACAGCACTAGCAAGAGCGGGAAGAGGAGGAACCTGGTGACGGGAAGGGAGAGAAGCGGGGGAAAAGAAACCAGGAAGAAAGAAGGAAGGGGAGGGGTGGTGTTAGTGGAAGGAGTGATGGGGGGTGAAGGTGCTATGCTGGCATGGCGAGGGAGGGAAGTAAACGGATGCGACAGGGGATGGTACATGTGGCTCTGCATATGCAAGGTCATTCTTTTTGCCTTTTGCATGCTAAGAGCCACAAGCTAGCAATCCACTAGCTACTTCACTCACTCGAGGCACACTTGAACACCCCCCACAGGCACGTCCTTGCTACCGATTGCCTCCTCCAATCGCTTGATGACACGTGGCAGCTGCTGGTAATCCCCCCGTGCGTCCACCACAGCCATGCAGAGAGGATGCACGTGGGTAAACGCAGCTTGTGCCTCATCCGCGGGGGATGCAGCAGGTGTGGCGTGTGAGGCTTGTGGTGCATGAGAGGGCGGTGCATCCACACCAGCAGCACCGTCACCAACATTGCTGTGGATACTACCAGGACTGCCCCCATGAACAGGCTTAGCACAACCACTGTCCCCTTCCTGCTTGGTTCCCTCCACCACACTACCCTTCTCCTTCCCTGTGCTGCGCCCCCCACCCAGCAGAAACCCCCGTTTGAAACCCCCGCCTCTCAGCCTCCCCTTGGCACCAGCACGCGAGCCCAACAGTGCCTTGCCCCAATGCACGCTCCCCTGCTGCACTCTCTTAGCCGCCACCGCCCCTCCACCCTTATCCTGCATATCGCCATGCACCACTCCCTTTGGTGCTGCGGTACACAGTGCTGGAAAAGCAGCTTCAGGAGGTGCTGGAAGCGGTTGGGCTGGGTCACGGGCAGTGGCGAGGGGGCTTGTGTGAGCGCTTTCCCCATGTGCGGGTTGAGGCCTCTCACGAGCGCCAGAGCCTGTGGCAAAGGAGCACGCGCCATCAAACGAGAAGTCACAATGGGTGCTCTTGCTGCTATTGCTGGAGCTACTGGTGATCGTACTGCTGCACGTGCTGCTGGTGACGGCGCTGGTACTTGTGCCCAGCTCTGATACTTCATGTGCTTTCAACACAAACCCCTCCTCCAACGTCAGCCCCTGCAACCCCTCCGACCCCTCCATCCCCTTAAGCTCCTGCTTTAGCCCCTCCACCTCATCAAAAAACGTCCTCGCTTCCTCTTCTCCTCCCCTCGCATCATCCCCATCCTCCCTTGCCCCTCCCTTCCCCTCATCTCTCGCCTCGCCCTTAGTGCCCCTTAGCGTCCACTCAGAATCCTCCTCTTCCCTGGCCTCTCGATCACCACCTCGACCCCATCGCGCCACCAGCTCTCGCTCCAGCTCCTTCGCCTCATCAAAGAACGTCCCACCCTCACCTACCTCTCCGGACCCTCCCACACCTTCGCTCCCTAGATGACCCATCAGGCCTCCGCTATTGCCACTCTCATTTGAATAAAAGGGGCTGGTGGAAGAAATGGCAGGTGTGATTGTATCGGCTGCAGGCTCTCCGGCAGGAGCAATGGCAGGTAGAGTTGGTGCAGCAATTGTAGCAGGGGTCATACCACAAGGATGAGATAGAGCAAGAGCAGCAGGAGTTGGAGCTGGAGCAGCGTCAGAAGCAGCTGCAGCATTAGTAACAGAAGCATTAGTTGCAGAAGCAGCAGCAGCAGTTGCGGGAGTGAAGGGGTTTTCGTCCAGGTGCTTGGCAGCCACAGCTACCATCTGCTTCAGCCGCTCCTCCGCATCTGCCACCTCATCCACCTCACGCGCCAGCTCAGCATGACCCTTCGCCAGCTCATCAACCACATCCGTACCACCCACATCATCACCCTCCTCGCCCATCCCCATCCACCTGCCCACCCTATCTCCCTGCACCACCTGCTCATCAGCCTCGTCTCCATACTCGCCAACCCCCTGCTGCACCCCCAACTGGGCCCTTTCCCTGCTCCTTTTCTGCCTCTGCTGTGCCAGCAGCACCCGCTGGCTCTGCTGCTCGAGAGCCGCCAGAAGATGCTTCACCTCCTCCGCACTCCAGCACGCTGCACCACCCGCTGCAGCAGCACCACTGGCAGGCGCCGCACTGCCGAACGCCCCAACAGCAGTGCTGTTCCTGCCTGCGGGCTGCCTTGCTGCACTGCCAGCAGTGGACGCAGCACTGTCACTGGCAAACGCAGCAGGTTCAGCAGGTTCAGCGGGCTCGAATGCAGCAGAAGCAGCTCCTGAAGGGAATGCTGACGCACCATGAGACGACATGCTTTCAGAACCCATCCCCATCCCCATCCCCAGTCCCATCCCTCCTTCCCATACCTCGCTTCTCTCCTCTTCTGCCTCCCCATCACCCTCGTCCATCTCACCCACCCAGCTCCCCACCACCTCGTCGTTATAACCCACACCTTCGGCATCGTCAAACGTCCATGTATCCCCCTCAATAGCATCAGCCCCTTCCGTATCGCACTGCTCTCTCCGAGAATTTCCTGTGGCTACATGCGAATCACCCCAACGGAACCCACCCTCCCAGGCACTTCCCTCCACTGGCAGGGGATTCGACCAAAAACCTTCTCCTTCCATTCCAACCAACCAGCAAACACTCTTTGCCCCCTGCACCTCGTTATAGTCACCCTTGCTCTGTGAAGCTGTGCTGTCGATGACTCCGTTGAAACTGCTCGTGTTTGTTACTCCGGAAGCTTCCTGGGTCCCATGCTCAGAAAGCCAGTCTTGGCCTTCAGAAAAATGCAGCTCAGGACGCGTTTCGGTCGACAGGCTGATCCAATCCTTCCACTCCTCCACCTCCCCCTCTCGTCTGACACTCCCTCGCGCTTCACCTCTCTCTATTTTCTGGTCAGGCACTGATCCTACGGGAATCGGTTCCGAGCCTGAAAGGAGGAAGCCTCGGCGGAATCCGGGCGTGCCGATCTGCTCTGGAACGGCTCGCGGCGCAGACCGTGCGACGGGACCGTCGATCGCCTGAGAAGATTCGATGTCTCCCGAATTGCCTGAACAAAATCCAGTTTGCTGGTATCGAGAATGTTGCTCTCGGCTGTGCTCCTGCTCATGGTGTCGGACATGCTCCCCGTCGCACTCTTGGGTAGGTTTGGAAGAAAAATCGGAAGCACGCGCGACAGGTACTGGCTCGAGTGGGGGAAGCCAAGGCAAGCCGTCGATCTCTTCGATCTTGAACTCGTCGGGCGACGATTCAGCGGTGCCGAGCGCGGGAATCGACAGCTCCGCCTCGCTCAACGGACCTAAGCTGCTGATCGCTTCGAAGACGGAAGCTTCGAAGACGGAAGCTTCGTCGTCGGCCATGGCAGCAAAAGAACCGAAAGAAACTGAGAGGAGTCGAGAATAAGAAATCAGAAAATCCCCAAGCCGGATCTCACTCTGATTTTCGTGCTGATTTCAATCAACTTTTATCCAAAAGACGACCCAGTAGACGATTGTTCATTCTAGCCGAGCTACATACGCGTGTGCTGCTGCTGCCGCTTGCTTCATGCATAGATTCCAAGGATGCGTCAGCGTCAAGAACAGCTCGGGGAAAGATAGAAGTGAAAAGGGAGGCTTGGGATAAGGAGGGGAAAAGGCTTGAGTGAATATTTTGTGTGTTACCAGAAGGCTTTCGCCAATGTGACGAGATTGTTCTCATAACAGGTAACCAGATTGGTCTTGAGCTTCGCAGCCACTGTCGCAGCTGCTCGTCCATTCACCTGCACCCTTGCGTCCACCTCCCAGCCAAGCCAATTCTTGGCGCAGCGAATCTTTTTCCCCCTCGTCACCAGCCACAAACGTTCCTTCCGAACCGATCCCACTCGTTTCTTCTCACCACGCATTTCTGCTCTTTGCACCTGGCTTCTTTTCTCTCAGGCTGCTTCCGCCGCACCAGCCTTTTGTCAAGCCGTTTCATTCGCCTTGGCGCATTTTACGCTTCTATTCTCTTGGGTGCTGGTTTTGATCCGAGGCTGAACAAGCTCTTTTGTGGCTAGTCTCGGTCGGGCTTCTTACCGTCTAACCCTAGTCAGAATAGTCCCAACATGGATTTTTTCGCGGGAAAGGCTGTTGAGAAGCAAGTTAACGGCGTTGGAGAAGCAGTCAATGTGAGTGTGGCGGGTATTGTTATTTTCGAATTACCACATATTCATAGACTTCGCATTTCTTTATGTCCAGCCGGTTGGCCTGTTCCCCTCGCTCATTCTGTACGCGAAAAATCCGCATTGCCTTCATGATATCCGCGCTCTCTGTGTTTCCAACCTCGTTGTGTCAGTCAATGGTGAATGATGCAACAGAAGCTGTCAGCAACTGGTGGGAAGGCCTTATGGGTACGAGTTGCAGTGAAATTACTTGGTGAAAAGTGTTATCGTCCTTTCTCGTCGTCCAAGTCCATGTGCCCGCAATCATGGATGCCATGTTTGTTTCCTTCCCTGATTGTCTTCTGCATCCACCTTCGTTTACTTTCAAGTTCTGTTTTTCCCAACGCCATACACGTATCCCTCTCCCATTCGTGCCATTGCAGGAAAAGTGCAGAAGCCCTTGCCAGAGATCCTGGAGCAGTACGAGTTTCCTGTGGGGATTTTCCCAAAGAACCATGTCAAGTACGTCCTGAAACTTACAGACTCCAGCAAACCCGAAGCAGGGGGCGTCCTGGAGGTGTATTTTACAGGAGGAATGGAAATCAAGCTCAGTGACGGGACGGTTCTGAAGTATGCGAAGAAGGTTGTAGTCCGGATTACTCCCAAGGAAATGGCAGGTGTTGTGGGTTTGAAGCTGAAGGGCATCACAGGGTACACTGAGATCAGTGCAGTCTCCATCGATCCTGTCAAGGAGAACGTCCACTTGCAAACAAGGGTGCGCAAGACGAAGCCGCTGCACCTCTTTAAGAGCGCAAGGCAGGGCGTTGAGGTACTTGATGTTAGCTGAAGTGGAGGGGTAGATTGTGGCATTCAGTCATGAGTATGTTATGATCGAGTATTTCACTAGTTAAATCCACACTCCATACCGTATCCATCTCTGGCTGTGTCAAGAATCTGCAAAGAAACAGCTCACAGCTGAATAACGTAATGGTATACTACTACATATCTCACCTAAATATTTCAGATGTGTATCAGGCACAATGACTCATTTACAAGCCAAGCTTATCACGGTGCCTACAGGTTATGACAGCATTTGCATAATGAACAAGAATCTGGCTTGATGAAGGTCCGCCCTCCTCACAGTCAGCAAAAAAAGTGGCCTTTGGGCAGCAGAGCAGACACCTGGTACTAGGACGTACCACCTGATTGCTAGTCAAAGTTGATTCCAAATATCCGGACTTTGTCAAGAGCTGGAAGCTTGGCAATGACAAGTGCAAACACGAGAACTGTGTTGATGACGAAGAAAAGCTCAGAGTTAGGATCATGCCGCATGTAAAAGGATGTCACCAGGTATCTGAAAGGTTTAAAACATATGACAATTAAACACACATTAAGAATCACACACGAATGCGAGCCTTGCAGGTTCTCAGCAGAAGCAGAAGTAGAGAAATTGAAGCCTCCATGACACTTACAATAGGACAGGGACCATGGTCAAGAACTTGCGGTTGGGAGTGAGCTGCCTGCGGCCATCAATCTGCTCCCACCAAGTGAGCTTATCGTACAATCCCTGGTCTTCAGCGAAAGGGGAACCTTTTTTCCAATGGAAAAGGTAGAAGGTCACCTGCACAGGAATAGGCACATCTGGCTCTTCGGTAATAGTACGCAAAAAGATAGCTTCTAATGCACCAGAAAATCGATATTAAAAGCATTTAGGGAAACCTAGCCCTCTAGTGTTCTAGTGCCTACGACAAATGTTACGCTCACTTACCACGAAATGGATAATATTGACAGCAGCGCAAGCGGAAGCCACACTACACTGAAAGATTATGAGGATTAAGAGCCACACTAGTACGACAATTATTAAGTATGTCGTCCAAACTCCAGGATACGAAAACCACGATGTATTCTTATTGACGTCAATAGGTGGAGCGGTCGGAACTAGGAACGGTGAATGGTATTGAGAAGCAGGGCTTCTCATTGGGCTTGAGACCTGCGTCCTTGGCTTTATGAGACTTTTGCGGGTAGGACTGTCACACGCATCTGCACTCGCGTCAATCTCATCTGGGACGGACTCTACTCTCCACAAAGGCATCGCGCCTCGAAGCTAACGACCTAAAAATTTGCGAGTCGCTAATACAATCCTGCCTAAGACGAATCCGGAATCCGATATCAAACCTGGTGAGTTTGCGTGCGCACCAAGGTCAGCCAGGCCAAAGACTCTAGGGTGAAAAAGAAAAGGAATTCAACAAGAGGGTACTTTGCAGCAGGTGCAATGGGAGAGGAAGTGGTGAGACCTTTGCATCAATCCTTGGGATCCTCGGCAAAAGCATACTCAATACTTTTAAGACATTACGGTTACACCATTCAGCACATCAGAAAGAATATATCACATACGCGAAGACATTGTTCCTTTGCCATTGTGACATCAGTACAAGTACAATTAATCACTTTGAAAAATTACATAGTTTTCTTTTAAATTTATTTTTTTCACATCCTTTTTTCTTATGATGGCGATATCCAATTTCATAAAATTGATATCTCAGTCATGTGCACTTACCGTGCTGCATCATTATACGATAGCTTTGATAAAGTCTGTTGATGCTAAGTTCACATAGCATTATGCTGTATCGGCGCAATAATACCGATGCATGTCAGGCTTCCACGGCGCGGGCGCTTCGAGAGATTCACGGTGCGGTTTCGCCCTGCCCGCCAGTCACCGCTGTGCTCACGAAATTTTTGGACGGCGAAACCATCCAATCCCCAGAACTTGACGGGCAGGAAGGCAACATGACCAAACAGTTTCACCATCATCATCACATGATCGCCGCACATCTCCCTCCCTCCCACATTTATGCGGGCAGCAACTGACAGATTTGCGGTGCACTTGGGGCGACTTCGAGGGCACAGGACATGTCTCATCAACTCAGCTCTGATCGACACTCGCCTCCGTTGCCTGTGCCTTCGATGTCGTGCCGCCGTATCAGCGGCCAGGCCCAACCAGCGTGTCGGTGGTGTTGTGTCTGGGGAACCCGAGACCATTTTAGCCGTTGCCAGTGAGGCTGGTAGCCTACTAGGCAATGCAACTTGAGCTGGTATGTTCAGGTTGGGACTATGCGGCCGCTGCTGGTATCCAGGCTCTTCAAATTGGAAAGTGCGAAGGCTGTAGTGTGATTAATTTCGACATGCGTTTCTTTTTGGCGGCCATTGGCCGGGGTTTATGCATAGAACTCGCAGGATTCCCAGTCGGCAGCCTGTAGTTCTCATCATCGGAACACTTACTTGATATAGGTAGCCCGAAACTGTTAGTAACTAGAAATCGCGTGTGCCCTTCGCCCCACTGAGCTCATTCTAGGAACTTACGAAAGGGCTCCCAACATGATGAAGCACGGTAGCCATCAGCGGCTTCTCAAGCCAACTCCAATGGCCCGCACGGCCGGGAAACAGAAATGCTCGATTTTCTTCGAGTTGATGGATTTGGTGTTTCGATGCAGCCCGTTCATTCTTCTAGTCATCTTGGTTGTCTTGGTCGTTATGAGATCCCAACACCACTCGGCTCAACAGGTCCAACCAGTGGTGGAAATTATCAGGACTCACGAGGTTGCGCACAACGGAGACGCCGGAGACGGCGTGGATGGTGGTAGCTTGCTTGTGAGCAATCAAGCTGACGCCATTGTTCTTGCAAAGGTGAGCGCCGTGGGGTAACAGCCTGTAAAACAGAGTGCCATAACAAAAAAACTTTCACAATCAATGCTGGAATTTTCTTGTGTTTCCTCAAGAGCGCATACTAAGCAATGCGCACTGCGGTTGGAGAAATTTGTGCCAGCAATTCTGTTCATGTTTTTCCAATTTTGATGTTCTAGCGGTGTTTCAACGTCTTTCCCCATTTACATCGCAGGGCGACCTCCCGAGTCGTCTGTATTCAGTGTGCGCGGCTTACGCCTTCGCCTCGCTCACGCATACACCGACCGTTGCGCTGTGGCCCTCGGACGCACACATGCCGCATGTGCGCTTCCACCATCTCTTCTCGACTCGTCATAGCGAAGAGTACAGTACCGCGGACAGCGCAGACGGCGCGAAAAGTACGGAGGAGTTGAGCAGGAACGGGTGGCGGTACCTGCGCGTGAAGGATTCGGCCATCGCGAGCGATGATTTGAAAAAAGGGCTCAATTCCAACCGTCGCACGGTAACCATTCTGACCGTCGCGCGCCTGTCGCGAAATACAGAAGACTCGTATTTGTCGCACAGTAGATGCGTCACACGTGAATTGCACGCGTCAACACTTTCCCCTTGTTTTGTTTATCTCCTCATTTTCTGCTTCGGGAACATGCTCCATTCGAAAGCCACTGTACAGCACTCGGCCCGTGTTCTTCCGTTACACCCTTCCTTCCTTTTTCAATTTTCAGGTGTTCCTTTCTCCATGCGAGTCCGCAGAACAGCGGCAGCAGCAGCAGCCACAGGGCAACGAGGAGACAGCAACCGGCGGAGAGGAGGGGAAGGGAGCGCAGGGCGGAAGCGAGCTCGCGAAAGCGGCTCCGTTTGCGCTCTACATGCCACCAGAGGGCGCTGGGCCAAAGGTAACAGACGAGGGACGGTCAGAAGCAGCAGCAGCGGGAGAAACGGCAGTGGATGCGACAGCGGCAGGGGAGGAGATTTCAGTGGCGCGGTGCGAGTACGAGCGCGAGGTGGATCGGTGCTTGGCGTCGCTACAGCCGTCCGTTGACGTGGCGAGACTGGTGGCGAAGGAGGAGTTGGAGGCCGTAGAAGCAACCGTAGCAGTTCACCTGGACGTGAGTGCGGGGCAGGGGGCGGAGGGGAGTGAAGGGGAGAAGACGAAGGGCGGAGAGGGAAACAGGAGCGTTTGTATGTGTGTGGGAGTGGGAGTCGTGGGTAAGAGAGGGAGGGAAGAAAGAAGGGGTGTATACGAGGAAAGGAAATCCGAAGGATGAAGAACGCAGCTCTGTAGCTCTGAACGTGCTTGCATCCCTTGAGTTTATAATTAAGGCCTATATTCCTTTTTCCGGAGCTCACATATGCTCTGCATTTTCTCCCCTCCCCACTCGTCAGGACCTTGCTCCCCGCGGCTGTTCCGGCTGCCGCGCCGCTACCACATCAGGCGCCTCCGCCGCGCTGTGCGCCATGCGCCGCATCGCCATGGAGTCTCTTAAAGACCCCTCGCTGCGCTTCACCCTCGGCTCCCCTTCCCCCGCGCACGCCGCCACTGTGACTACGTACTTCGACCCCCTGCGCGCGCCCCTGCTGCTCCGCGCGGGAAAGGAGCGGCGGAAAAAGTGCGCGTTTGAGCAGATAAGGGGAGCTGAGGGGGAAGGGCAGGGGGAAGCGGAAGGCGGAAGCGGGAGAAGGAGGCGGCTGAACGAGGAAGGCAGTAGCGGCGCAGGGGAAGGGCCGAGGGTTGCGAGAGCGGGGCGGGATCCGATTCTGCTGTGCCATCAGCTACGGGTGTCGGAGCTCTTCACTCTCAGCCGCGCCCAGGGCTTCCTCCCCATCAACTCGTCCTCGATAGAAGCGCGTTTCGTTATAGCGCAGGGGAGGGCTCGGTCGGCAGAGTTTGAGGTGGCGGCGTCGGTGTGCGGGTCGGAGGAGGTGCTCCCCATCCCGCAGCAGAAGTGGGCCAAGTTCACCTTCGTCGAAGGTACGCCAAGTCAGGCTGGCGATTCATCTTCAAGCAACCCTTCTAGTATTGCCCTTCCCTCTCCACGTTATTCTAGACTCTCCCTGCCCTTCCCCTGCCCGATCCTCTCTCCCCTAAGACGCCCTCTCTCGTTCTGCCCCCCATGCGAGCAGAGCGACTGGGAATGGCCTACTGCGGTATTCCCGAGGTGGCCTCCACCACGTGGCTGCAGTGGATTCGCGCCCAGAGCGGCCTGCCTTTCACGGACAGGGAGCCGCTTATAAGGGAGACGGGGCTGCACCGCCTCTCAGCCAACTTCACAGAGAAAGAGGCGGTGCGTGTGGGAGGTTGTGAAGGATGATGGGTCGTGACGAAATGGGTAACTCTGTAAGGGAGACGCGGCTGTACTGGTAGTCTACCAAATTCACAGAATGAGAAGGAAGGTCCTAGGCCATAGAATCGTACCGGACGTGGAGAGATGGCAGTGTGAGGGACAACATGACACATACCATGGCAAAGTATGGCATGGCTCATGGCTCTAATCGCACCCATGATGTCTCCAGCGTCCCCCCTCCTACATGCTCACCTTCTCCCATGCTCACCTTCTCCCATGCTCACCTTCTCCCATGCTCACCTTCTCCCATGCTCACCTTCTCCCATGCTCACCTTCTCCCATGCTCACCTTCTCCCATGCTCACCTTCTCCCATGCTCACCTTCTCCCATGCTCACCTTCTCCCATGCTCACCTTCTCCCATGCTCACCTTCTCCCATGCTCACCTTCTCCCATGCTCACCTTCTCCCATGCTCACCTTCTCCCATGCTCACCTTCTCCCATGCTCACCTTCTCCCATGCTCACCTTCTCCCATGCTCACCTTCTCCCATGCTCACCTTCTCCCATGCTCACCTTCTCCCATGCTCACCTTCTCCCATGCTCACCTTCTCCCATGCTCACCTTCTCCCATGCTCACCTTCTCCCATGCTCACCTTCTCCCATGCTCACCTTCTCCCATGCTCACTGCCTCCCATGCTCACCTCCGTTCTCTCCTCCCTCTGCAACATCCCCACATCCCCCCCTCATCTCTCCCTGCCACTGCCGTCCTCTCACCAACCAGGTGCGGCTGCTGTTGCGGCCGGGCATGTTCCGCTTCACGTTTGTGCGCAACCCCTTCACGCGTGCCCTCTCTGCCTACCTCTCCAAGCTCGCCTACACCTCCTCCATCACCGCCTCGCACCGCGGCTACAGGCAGTCGCCCAGGCAGCTCTGGGCAAAGGTGCGCGCTCCTCCTCCAGTCTCTCCTGCGCTTTCTCTCCAACCCCCTCTCCTCTCCCGTGTATCTTTCCGTTCGCTTGCACCTCCTCCATCACTGCCTCATGTTGCGGCCCCATGCAGTCGCCCAGGGAGCTCTCAGCCAAGATGCGTGCTCTTGCTGTCTCTCCTCCTGAAGAACCTCGCACATGCTCTCCCTGATTGCTTCATGAAGTGCGATCTACTACCTCTCCTCTTCCTCCCCTTCCCTCCCCCCACCAGTCATTCTTTCTCCACGTGTGGCAGCAGTATGAGGCAGTGAGGGCGCCTGAACAACCTTGCACGTCTTCTCCCTGCATGCCTCCAAACAAGTTGATTGACATTCTCCTTCCCTCTCGTCACCCCGCCACCCCCCCACCCCCCACCCCCCACCAGGCGTTTTTCCGCCACGTGTGGCAGCAGTACGAGGAGGTGAGGGCACCGGAGGGTCTGGTGACGTTCCGAGCGTTCCTGAGGCTCGTGGACGCACTCATGCAGGGCCACAGGGCCACCATGAACCGCCACCTCTCGCCCCAGGTATGCCGTCTTATTGCCCTGTGCAAGTGACAGCTTGTGTGTCGGTTAGTGCAATGCGCTCTGTGTGTTTCTGTGTAGGCCCTAGGCCACCTACCATGAACCGCCACCTGGCTCCTCAGGTGGGGCCTCCGATCGACCACTGAGGTGGGCACGGAGGCCCAGGGGAGGTTGTGAGGGTGCACATGCAGGGGTGTAGTCGAATCCGCACCTCGCCCCTCAGGTGCGGCATTTTTGCCATCCAGCTTTTCTTCTCGGCAGTGGAATCGAGTGCCGTGTAGTGCCTTGGTGTGGCAATCCGCTTCTTGCTTCTCAGCACATTCACCCTCTTCCATTAGATCAAATCCGTTCCTGATCGCCCCTTGTGCACCACGTCAGGTGGACATCTGCAATCTGAACGGCATTAAGTACGAATATGTGGGGCGCTCTTCTCTTTGCTTTGCCGAAAATGGACCCTCCTTACTGGATAACCTGATTCCCGATCCCCCCTGCCACACCTCGTCAGGTGGACATCTGCAATCTGAACGGCATCAAGTACGACTATGTGGGACGCTTTGAGCACTTCAAGCGGGATGCGGAGAGAATGGCGTCTGAGTATGGGGGGAAGCACCTGGACGTGTTTGAAATCGACCCCAGCGCGCACGTTGTCACCAACAGGAGTGTCATCAAATACTATAATGAGGTTGGTCTTTTGCTCTCCGTTCCGTGTGCGCCTGTCTGCACTTTCATGTTTCACACGCTCTTGTGATAACCCAGCAATCCGCAAATGGGTTACGGTATAAGCTCCTAAAAGAGGTGTGGGTGTGCCTTTGTTGTGGTTATTGCAGGAGGCTACTAAGCTGCTTATGCAGGTCTACAAGATGGACTTCCGTGTCCCTCTGAACAATATTAGTTACTGGCCACCGAAAGCCCTTGAAAAGCCTAAAAGCACACCTCTTGCGTAAGAGCCAGCCACCGCTTACAAGCGTTTCTCTTGGACAAGCTATGTTCCTTTCCATTGGTGTAGATACTGCACCCATTCAAAGAACGGATGGGGCTGTTAAATTGTTAGTTTCCATTTTTACCAACGTGCAGTTCCGGCGTCAGCCCCAGAGTGAGTAGACACACTGTGTCATTGCCAAAGACATACAGAACCCTTTCCTCCAAGTGAAAGCTCCATCCCTTTGAAAGGCAAAAAGCAGGCTTTGAACCTGACGTGAATCGAACACGCAACCTTCTGATCTGGAGTCAGACGCGCTACCATTGCGCCACAGATCCGTGACAGCTATCATATTATAATTAAAAACACCTATATTCAATTTCCCCGCCCAAGAAGTACCTGAGTTCACTATCACGATGAAGACCGCCAAGGATGAAGCGTTGCCGTGTGGTCACTATCTGTACGTTCATACCGCCCACCCCTTCACGTCTCTAACGTCTCGAAAACCTTACCGTCCCTTCCTCTTGAACTTCCCTTCCCTCTCCAATCCTTCTCCGCCCAACCCGTTACCTCCCCTCTTCCCCGTCCTCTCCCGCGCTCCAGCTGTCTCGCCTGCGGTGCGGACCTCGGCCTATCATCGTCCGCCATCTTTCCGCGCGCTGTTCGCTTCGACGCCGGGAATCGCGGCTCCATCTCCTTCGAGCGAAGCAGCGTCGATGCGAAGCAGCTCGCTATAGTCACAACCACGGAGAGTCGCTGGGGGCCTTTCTTTGAGAGCACCAACTCGTTCGGGATTCATCGCGAACGCACCATCATGCGCTGCCGAGCCTGCCATGCCAGGCTCGGCACGGTCATGGACGATGGTCCGTGCGTGGGTAGGATGCACTCTGGGTTGGGCCCGAGCCAGTTTTCAGAACGAGTGGGACGGTATAGGGTTTGGCGCAAGGCAGTTATGTTTCAGGAAGGGCCGTGCGGGGAGGAAGGTGGGGTGGTGGATGGAAAGGGTGCAGTGAAGGGTTGAGGGATACAGAGTTAGGAGACGGGTTAGCAGGAGATGCGGATGGGGATGTGGGGTGAGTCACAATGCATCACACAGTACGTGTGAGTCTGGTGTGGTGTGGGGCATGAAGAGCTGCTTGCTTGGACATTGGAAGCAAGTGTGAGATGAGGTTGTCTCATCATGCATGAGACTGCATGAACGACCAGCCATACCATTTGTCTGTGGTCACTTGTTTATATTCGTATGTTATGTACATAGATGGGTTTGTCTAATGGTATGGTTGCAGCTTCCTGTTGGCTATGGGCAGTGCTTCATATTAAATATTTGCTGATTACACAATGCTCAGGGCGAGCAGCCAACGTGCTGTAAGCACGGGTAACAAACACCTTGAATTCCGAATGCTTGCGCATCCAGCGAATAAAAACTCCTAATGGCATATATAAAACACTATCCCAAACTATGTGTTACAGTATCGTGCAGCAACTTGTCCCAGTGTCACCACTGCCTTGACCATCTCCACCCGACCCTATCTCTGCTTGGATCTTCTCCAGCCGCACCACAATCTCAGTGAACTCTGGTCGCACGGCCTCGTCGCGGTCCCAGCACTCCGCCATCAGCTTTGCCAGCTCCGGGTTGCACGAAGGAGGGATGTCCGGCCGTTGGTTCTGTGGGGGGTGAATGGGATGTGGGGAATGCGGGGGTGCCTTAGGCCTATCCTTGCAAGATCTAGTCGCACGGCCTCGTTGCGGTCCCAGCACTCCGCCATCAGCTTGGCCAGCTCGGGGTTGCATGAGGGGGGGATGTCTGGCCGATGGTTCTGTGGGGGGTGAATGGGATTGGGGGAATGCAAGGGCGTGGTTAGAGACTCTGGCCGCATCTCTAGCGATACGGCCTCGTTGCGGTCCCAGCACTCCGCCATCAGCTTTTCCAACTCTGGGTTGCATGAGGGGGGTATGTCTGGCCGTTGGTTCTGTGGGGGGTGAATGGGATGTGGGGGTTGATTGAAGGGATGGGGGGGTTGCGTTTCTGAAGTGCCTCAAGACTCGGGCCGCTTGTCTCGGGGCCAGCAGCCTGGCATCAGGAGGCCAAAAGTTCGTTGCACAAGGGGGGAATGTGTACTGGGAGCTCCTATTCTATTGACGACTCAGTCTCATGCACCTTGTGCACGACGTTGTATGCAAGTTGGATGAAGGTGAGGCCCTTGAAACGGTGAGACGTTTGGTGGCTCTAACCGTCGGTACCATGAATGAACCTTCAACCTTTTTGCCGCTCACCTTGTGATCCCGCCAACCCCACGCACCTTGTGATCCCGCCAACCCCACGCACCTTGTGATCCCGCCAACCCCACGCACCTTGTGATCCCGCCAACCCCACGCACCTTGTGATCCCGCCAACCCCACGCACCTTGTGATCCCGCCAACCCCACGCACCTTGTGAACGACGTTGTAGGCGAGCTGGATGAAGGTGAGCCCCTTGAACGGCAGCTCGCACGTCACCAGCTCCCACAGCACGATGCCGTAGCTGTACACGTCCACCTTGCGCGTGTACGGCTTGTGGTCTATCACCTGATGCGAGAAAAGGTGCACGGGAGAACAGGAGGATTGTGTGATTGGAAAAAGGGGGAGGGCCTCTGGTTGACTGCAGCTCCCACAGCACGATGCCGTAGCTGTACACATCCACCTTGCGCGTGTACGGCTTGTGGTCTATCACCTGAAGCCGGGGGGGGCGTGGGAAAGGAAGGGGAGTTGTAGTGTAAAATGCGGGTCCCGCCATAGCTATACACATCCACCTTGCGCGTGTACGGCTTGTGGTCTATCACCTGATAAGCGAGGTGAGATGGAGAAGAAAGAGACGAGGAGTGAGGTGTGGATTGTGAGTTCCTCATGGCACGATGCCCTCCGTGGCCGTGTGTGCAAGTCCACCGTGTGTGAGTACAGCCTGTGGTCAATCACCGTCCCGGGGTTCTGGTCCCTATGATGCCACTACCACACGCAATGTACACGCCCGGGTTCACAGTCATGTCGCCCGGGTTCTTGGCCTCGGTGTGCGCCACGCTTACACGCCAGCAATACACAAACACTTAACCATATCCTACGCCCAGCCCCCTGGCAGCCCCACGCACACATACACCCCCCTTGGTCTCACCTCAGGAGCCATCCATCGCACGGTGCCGGTTTCACAGGTCATATCGCCCGGGTTCTTGGCCTCGGTGCGCGCGACGCCGAAGTCAGCGATCTTGACGATGCCCTTGTAGCTCACCAGGATGTTGTCTGACTTGAGGTCCCGATGCACTATGTGGTGCGCGTGCAGGTACCTGCTTGGAGGGGGAAAGCATAGGCAGGAGAAACGGGAGCATTTGGAAGCAAAAGGGCGCACATGGGCGCAATGAATGCCAGCGATCTTGTAGCTCACCAGAATGTTGTCTGACTTGATAGCCCGGAGCACTATGTGATGCGTTGCGCATGCAGGAACCTAAGGGGAGAAAGAGAAAAAAACCAGCAGCCCCAAACGGGAAAAAACGATAATGATACAGAGTGTGAAGCTAGGCGCCCCAGAAGACATGGCCTTGCAGCACAGGGCAACACATAGCACGCCCTTCTCTCCCAGGTGCCCTCCTGCCCCCATGCACCACAGAAGTACCAGCCCACGTTCTCCCTCCTCCCTTTTTCCCCTTGCCAAACGCCCTGCCCTTCCCACCATCTCCTCCCGCATACACCTACCCTTTCCCCATCTCCCCCTCCATCCCCCACCTCCTCTCCGCCCACTCACTCCAACACCCATCCCACATCCAGACTCCAGGGAAATGAATAGCGGTCCTTCTACCCTTTCTCCTTCCCATGCCCCAGCAGTTCGCTCTCCCCGTTCCTCCATTCCTCCCCCTCCTTTCCCCCTTCCCCCCCCTTTCCACCCACTCACTCCAGCCCGCGAGCCACATCCAGGGCAATCCGCAGAACGTCCTTCTCCGCCAGGCGCCCTTCTTCCCCCCATGCACAGCAGATCTAACAGCCCATGTCCCCTTTATCCCCCTCCCTCCCCCCCCTACCCCCAACTCACTCCAGCCCACGAGCCACATCCAGGGCAATCCGCAGAACGTCCTTCTCTGCGAGGCGGCGCCTGCGCGCCAGATAGCTGCGAAGCGTGCCCCCCGACATGTACTCCGTCACGATCGCCCACAGCGGCGTGCCGGCCGGCGGCTTTGCCTCCGCTGGCGCCACGATGTTGCTGGCGTCTAGCGAGGCTCCTATGAACTGACAGGGGAGGGGGGGGACGGGGGGAGCAGGGGACGGCAAGTTGTTCTGGGCAGTGCCTAGGCGTAGTTTGCCTCTGCTGGCGCCACGATGTTGCTGGCGTCTAGCGAGGCGCCTATGAACTGACGAGAGTAGGGGGGGAAGGCAAGGGGAAAGAGGGTGGTTGGCTCGCGCCCAATGAGGCTGTGAGAAACTAGTACGGGGAAAAGAAGTGTTGCTTGTTGGTGTATGGGGGACTATGCCTCCGCTGGCGTCACGATGCTGTTCTCGTCTAATGATGCTCCGATGAACTGACAGCTGTTGGAGTGGATGGGATGAGGGACATGGTACACGGGAGAGGGGGACATGACGGAATGGGAAAGAGGGTGGGATCGGGAGGGACCGTAACGGGGCGGGGAGGTTGATTGATTGTGTGGTTAGTGGGGTTGTTGGAATTCCGAAGAGCCATTGTTGCACTACCAACGCACTGACACACACTCACAACCTCGCACACTCCCAACCGCACACACACGCACACTCACATGAGCACAGTCACATACCCACACTCACGTGAACGCACAGTCACGTACGCACCGCACACTCACACGTACCCACCTGCACGATGTTGGGGTGCTTGAGGGTGTGCCACACGTTAATCTTCTGCAGAATACCCGCCTCTATGCTCGCCAGCTCCTTAGGGGGGATGTTAAGGTTCAGCATTACCCACACACACATGTACACTCACTCACTCACATCCCCACCTGCACGATGTTGGGGTGCTTGAGGGTGTGCCACACGTTGATCTCCTGCAGAATGCCCGCCTCTATGCCCGCCAGCTCTTTAGGCGGGATGTTGGGCGACACGCTGATGAGCTTCACTGCCACGTCCTCCTGCCCGTACAGCCCGTGATACACGCGCCCGAACGCGCCTGAGGGGGGAGAGGGGGGGAGAGGCGAGGAGAGAAGAAGCGGGGGAAGGAGGCGAGGAGTGGGGCGACAGGAAGGAGGGGGTGGGTTGTGGTTCACGCTGATGAGCTTCACTGTCACGAACAGCCCGTACAGCCCGTGGTACACCCGCCCGAACGCGCCTTGGGAGGGGGGGTTGCAAGGATGTCGGGAGGGAGTGAGGGTGTGAGTGAGGGTGTGAGAGGGAGTGAAGGTGTCGGGTGTTAGTGAGTCACGCTGATGAGCTTCACTGCCACGTCCTCCTGCCCGTACAGCCCGTGATACACGCGCCCGAACGCGCCTTGGGGAAGGGGGGGAAGAGGGGGGAAAAGGGGGGTCACGAGGGGGGAAAGAAGAGGGGGCTTGGGGGGATTTGCCCATGCAGTCGTGTGAACACTTCTGTGCTTCATTTTCCCTGTTTTTCTCCTCCGTCTTTTTGTCATACACTCATAAGGATTAAGTTGAACATCAGGTATGAGCCAGCTAAGCAGTAACATTATTTTCCAATAACTAGTTAAAGGAAAGAAAAAAGAAAAATAACATAACAATAGCAGGTACGCCTGTGTTGGGCTGCAAGAGGAAGGAGAAGGAATGAGATGATGGACAGGGGGCGGGAATGGTACCTGCTGCAAGCTGATTGGTGCAGAGCACCTGCGGGGTACACGTGGCGTGGTGGTAGGCACATCAATTCCATTGTTGAACGGCACATTAAGGGGAGAGAAAAGGGGAAGGGAAGGGAAGGGAAGGGGAAGGGAAGGGGAAGGGGAAGGGAAGCGGAAGGGGAGGGGGAAGGGAAGCGGAAGGGGAGGGGGAAGGGAAGGGGAAGGGGAAGGGGAAGGGAAGGGGAAGGGGAGAGGAAGGGGAGGGGAAGGGGAGTTGAAGGGTCATGGGAAGGAACAGCATGTCGGAAGGGTGAGTGACACGTGCAAGGGAATGAGAGGGCAAGGCGATATGCAGGGGAATTAGCAACTACATGAACCTCTCCCTGTGCCCCTTACCCCCCCCCCTCAACCATACTCCGGTACTTTCCAACCACACCCCATTGCTCCGAAATATACCCCATTGCCCCCAACCGTACCCCAACGCAGCCCATCGCGCAGTACCTTTGACATATCCATCTCCCACGCTGGTTTCCCGTCGGCCTTCGCCCCTCCCCCTTCCTCCGTCCCTTCGTCGCCACTCTCAATCTCAAAGCACCCCGCCTTCTTCTCCGCTCCTGCCACTTTCCCTTGTGGTATCGAGTTCACTTCGAACGAGTTCGCTTCTATTGAGTTTCCTTTTAACGAGTTCGCTTCTAACGAGTTCGTTCCTAACGAATCAGACGGCGACCGGCTGGGAGAAGTCTCCACAAGCAGCGGCTGGTGCTGCTGCCGCCTCTCCCTCTCCGCGTCCCGCTGCGCGCCGTTGCTATGCGGGCGCGCGGGGAGCGGCTGATCGGGCTGCGGGCGCGCCTGCGGGGGAAGTGGCTTCTGCGTGACGACCCCCTCCGCCTTGGGGTCGATGCCCTCCGCCTGCGCGAACGTGTTGAAGTCCAACAGGCCGACGCGAGCCACCTTGGTGTCCGCCATTGATAATCTTAATATAGGAGAAAGGAGAGCGTGCGCGGGTAGAGGAAAGGTGGTCGTATGCGAGCTAAGCACACTGATACGGTACGTGGAGCAGGTTATTTCTTTCGACTGGGACAACAGTTCTCTCCGCAGGAGGTAACTGCCAGGTATTTCAGTCCGCGTTTGACTGCGATGTGGCTTAGGTCGACTCAAAGGAGACGCGAGCCGGGCTTTTGTCGTTCCTTGCGGCTATCGTTTCGTACTGCGAGGAAGAGTAATTGCGAGGAAGAGAAATTAATTATTGCGAAGGCAGGATTAAGTTGTTTATTGCTTTAGTAGTAACAACTGGCAGCGGGACTTCGACAACGAGAGGCTGATCTCGTCATGATTGACGCTTTAGCATCTGCTATATAATCAGTGTCATTTCACGGCGTGTGGAACAACTACCGCGTTACTACGCGAACGGCGAAAGGTCCTACACCTACAGGACATAAGAGTGGTTGGCGGCGATTACGCATGGCTCGCTCGATCAGTTCAACAATTTTCGTACCTAGCTAGCAACAAAAGTCACGTATTTTATGGCAGCAGGGGCTATTACAGTGCTGAAGAACCTGAACGGAGAGGTTGATGGGTGAACGGGAAGGGTCATGGGAGACACGCCGCTCCCCCCCAGCTCCGCCTTCATGATTCCGCCAACCCGAGGTTTTGGCGTGGGCGGGAAGAGGGCAGCCAATTTCATTTCGCTCACACGGGAAGCAGGTTCGCTTGGGCAGGAGGTGGAATAAATCGACGCGCCTGGCGCTTCATCTCAAATCTCGGAAAGCTGCTGGCGGCGGCGTTGTGGAAAAGGCTTTCTTTCTTCCGAACCGCAGGGAACTTCCTGCCCTGTGTGTTGCCGCAGAAACTGTTCCCTGCCACAGCTGACGCGCAGGCGCCAGAGTTGGGGATGTGGCGGGCGGGGGGGTTGCGGGGGGGAGGGGAGGTAGGGGGTGGGGGGGTTTGTGAAAAGTGGACGCTTGTGCGTGCCACGAAGTCAGGTACTTTGATTGGCTGAAAGTTGTTGCCAACTGGGCAAGCGCTTAGCAAGAATTGCTTCTGGATTGGTTGTTTCTTCATCACATGGCTTTTGGAGTCGCCAACATCTCAGCAAAAACGCATTACCACTCGCAGATCTTCGCTGGGCAATTACGGCGTGCGAGAGCGTGTGACATTTACTCAATACAGAAACTCCGGTACAAGTTACGGTGACATCTGTAGGAGTAATTTAGAAATTGCTCACACTTCGCTGCATTATTTGTTTGATAAGCCGCAGCTCCACACCACCGAGATTTACGTCCGACTGCGCCAGCCTGTCCAGCTGACAACCAACCACAAGACGAAACGAGCTGCATCAGTCCACGTGTACAACTTGTATCTGTCAGCGGCAAACAATCGATAAAGTTCAAGGCGGACACAACCGCTCGATCTTTTTATTTAGTAAAATCAGCACCACATATCCGCAGTGTGTGCAATCTCAACCATCCGATCATAAGTCATCAACAGCACAGCCCTGTTTCCTCGGGGCTCCATTCGTCATCTTCATCCTCGCCCTCCCGCCCTCACCTCACCCTGGTTCTTGGGCTTCATTGAGCCTCCGCTGGGAAACAGCATCTTTCTTCTATTTCCACAACACCCTAGATTCCCTCATTCTGTTCTTGTTCTTAGATGCTTGATCTGTAAACTAGAACCCTTCCAGTTCCTCCCAAATTAGTCATTGATCGATCTTCGTCCCCGCTGCCTTTCTCGCTAGCAGCGTCGGTGATTAAGACGAAATGGTGGCGACGGCATGGTCGAGATAAACCATCGCCCATTCTCTTGGGGCTCCGATTGACCAACACGTTGTGATTGGACTTGCTTGCACTCGCTTCGTATAGTCTGCCTTGTAAAGTCAAACAAATTAATATAGGTAGTGCATTAGTCAATGGCCTCCGCAGTCTGCATTTCGTCTAGGACAATCTCAACCGTTGCTGAATCTAGCAGCCTGGGAAGTGTTGCTCATTATTCGAACCAACATCTAGACAGCAACAGCTTCGTCGTCAAGCCCGTACGAAGACAAACACTCCGCTTAGGTTCTGCGCGGATTCCATCATCTACGTCGCCTTATCGATCGCCTGTATCCATGGCGAAGGACCAAGCCGTCGGTGCCCGGTCGACGTCAGTCAACGGGTGCGCGACGCACGCTAACCCTCCGCCGATCGCGCAGACGGCAAAGTCCGGCTCGTCTGCGGCTATGGAGAGCTCGGAGGCGGTTGAGGCGAGATCGTCTCTGTCTACCAAGGCCGTCCATGCAGGTGCGCCCGCCACTGGTGATATTGCAGTACGAAAACTGTAAACCGTTTTGGATCAGCTCTTTGGATTCGTCAGTTGTTCAGGATGGGGGTGTCGTCCACAACTTGAAGCTCCTATTTCGCGGCCACGCGTTTGAAAATGGAGCTTAGAGGGCGAAGTAATCAGCTAAACAGCAGCGTTGTAAATGCCTTATCAAATCGTAACGTGAAATGAAAGACATCTACTTCTTTTCGCAATTCCGTGAGTGCAGGAGAGCGACCAGGACGACCGCTGGTGGTGGACTCGCTGACGACGCCCATCGTGCAGACGTCTACGTACTTCTTTAAGGATACCGCGGACCTCATCGAATTCGTCGTACGTTCTCTCGCCACCCCTGCATTCTCCGCGTTCGTCACACCTGCCTTATCTGTCACATTTTCACGTCGTGTTCTGTCGTTGGCGGTTATGTATGCCGACTTTCCAAGTACTTTGGCGGTTTTGTGGGCTTTTTTCAATTTTGAACGAGCGCAAGAGCTCAGAAAATCTAGAAAGAGCGCGTTTCAGTTGTCATGGCTTGTGATCCCAATCATCTCTTTCCCGTCGTAATTCTGTCGGCGCAGGAGGGGAGGAAGACGAGCTTCGAGTATGGCCGGTACGGCAACCCGACGACCGACACTGTGGAGCGTAAGATCAGGTCAGCACAAACCTCCTCTCTCAGGCTCTCGATTCCTGCTCCTGCGTCATTGACTCGTGCCGTTTTGTAAGTCAGCAGACGAGAAAGTGATGACGAATCTCCGCACAAAATTCTCGTGATCACCTGTAATCTACCTTCTAAGATACCAAGCTACGCGCGCACGATTCCGTCGGTGCGCTCGCTTCATCCCTCCCTAATTTTCATCTCTCCCCGCTCTCTTTTTACTTTGCGCCCTCTGCCCTCCGTTCTCCCCCGCAGCGAGCTGGAGCAGGCGGAGGCGACGCTGCTGTCGTCGTCCGGCATGTGCGCGGCGACGACGATGCTGCTGGCGCTCGTCCCCGCGGGCGGGCACATCGTCACCACCACGGACTGCTACCGCCGCACGCGCCAGTTCATTCAGACCATGCTGCCCAAGATGGGCATCACCGTGAGTGCCGCGTGCGGGGAGTGGGGATGCGCAGGGTTTCGGTGGGGAAGAGAAGTGGAAGAGGGGTGGAGAGCGGCTGTGGCGCGCAGTTTACTTGCAATGCCGTGCATTTCAATATTTCTGCTGATATCTCGCTTTCATTGGCGTCCCTTAACCTTCCGGTTTCCCTCTTTTTCCTCCATCAACATTTCCCCTTCGACTTTGCTAGCCTCTCACCCCGTCTCACCCTCTCGCTCTCTCTCCCTCCACCCTCTCGTCCTACCAACCCCTCCCCACCCCCCCTCCCTCCACCCCCGTTCTCCCCTTCACGGCATCGCAGACGACGGTGATCGACCCGGCTGACATGGGCGCGCTGGAGAAGGCACTCGACGAGAACGAGGTGCGTATCTGTGACCCATCACCCGTCATTATTGAGTGACGCCACAAACATGACACAAGGCACGTTAATCGCTGTGATCGCCCGTACCGTCATCACCGGCATTCTGTGGCTGGGATGCTCTCGTCGACATAAGATGGTCGTGTACATAAACTGCATTTGAGAAGCCAAGAGTCGGTGAAACAAAATAATCAGATGTGCAGACTGAATCCAAGCAAGACGGAATACCAAATATAATGGATCGTTCGGAAACAGCTAACGCATAACATCTCACCCGCTTCCATCTTTACCCTAGACCCTGCATTCTCTTATCACCGTCTTACTGCGATCCCATCTCCCGTCTCTCATCCCACTCCACTCCCCCACCCCTCTTCCCCTCTCCCCATCCCCTCCCTTCTCCCTGTTCCCGCCCCTCTGCCACCTCGCTCCTCTGTCCTTCGCGCCCCTCCCCCCGTTCTCGCCCCTCTCTCTTCCCCACCGCCGTCGCATCTCCTCTCCCTCTCCCATTCCCTGTGCGCCAGGTGTCGCTGTTCTTCTCCGAGTCCCCCACGAACCCCTACCTGCGGTGCATCGACGTGCCGCTGGTGAGCGGGCTGTGCCACGCGAGGGGCGCGCTGGTGTGCATAGACGGCACGTTTGCCACGCCCATCAACCAGCACGTGCTGCCTCTGGGGGCCGACCTCGTGCTGCACTCGGGCACCAAGTACCTCGCTGGCCACAATGACGTGAGTTTGATGTGATGTGATGCTGCCGTGGTGATTCTGGGGTGTGGAGAGTCGTGTGAGAAGTTGGTGAGGTGTGTGTGGCTATGACCTCGTGCTGCGCTCCGGCACCAAGTACCTTGCGGGGCACAATGACGTGAGTTTGATGTAATGGTGGCGTTCTGGTCCGGGTGAGGGGCGGGTGGGATTGTTCGGAGAGAAGTTTTGTGAGCTCCTTACAAGCACTACTCTGCTGTACCTTGCCTTCATCATTGGCCCCCCACCCGCACCCGCATCCCCACCCCCCCATTTGTCCCACATGGCTCCCCTGCGCCTCATCCACCAGCAAAACTTATACTCCTTTCAATGAGATTTTTCTTAACCGTTGCCATCCCACCCTGTGCCATGCCGTGCCATCCCATCCCATCCCGTGCCATGCCATGCCATGCCGTGCCATGCCATGCCATGCCATGCCATGCCATGCCATGCCGTCCCAACCCATTCCATGCCATGCCATGCCATGCCATCCCGATACGGTGCTGCATGGCACAGGTGTTGGCGGGGACCATAAGTGGCAAGGCGGAGCTGGTGCAGAAGGTTCGAGCGTTGCACAACGTGCTGGGGGGAGTCGTCGACCCGGTGAGTCCCTCTGCATGCGCGCTGCACTCTCCACTGCACCGTATGCTGCCTTTGCTCCTTCGTGCGTGCCCCTGCACGTCACTCTCTGCACGTTGCCTCTACCCCAATTTTTGCCCCTAAATATTGTCCCTACCCTACCCATCGCCCCTGCCCATCACCCCTGCCCATCGCCCCTACGCATCTCCCCCTACCCATCCCCCTACCCATCGCCCCTACCCATCGCCCCCCATCGCCCCTATCCATCGCCCCTACCCATCGCCCCCTACCCATCGCGCCCCCTACCCATCGCCCCCTACCCATCGCCCCTACCCATCGCCCCCTACCCATCGCCCCTACCCATCGCCCCCTACCCATCGCCCCTACCCATCGCCCCTACCCATCGCCCCTACCCATCGCCCCCACCCATCGCCCCCTACCCATCGCCCCTACCCATCGCCCCTACCCATCGCCCCCTACCCATCGCCCCTACCCATCGCCCCCTACCCATCGCCCCTACCCATCGCCCCTACCCATCGCCCCTACCCATCGCCCCCACCCATCGCCCCCTACCCATCGCCCCTACCCATGGCCCCTACCCATTAGTCCGCGCACGTTCTCCAAGAAAGCATCACTTCCCACCCCGGGGCCCCCCAAGGCCCTGTGACTTCACTGCCCACGACTGCGCATCACCCCTCCCTCTCCGTCTCCTTGCGCCCGCCCCTGTGCCCCCCTGGCAGCATGCGGCCTACCTCATTCTGCGTGGCCTCAAGACCCTGGCCCTCAGGGTGCGGCGTCAGAATGAGACTGCCATGGAGCTCGCAGTTGCACTCTCCAACCACCCCAAGGTACGCCACTCTCTCTCCCACTTGTAGGAGTGCCGCAAACCTATTCCAAGTTGTTTTTCTCCTGTTCCCGTTGCGTTATCCCCGTGTGACGTGTGTCTTTCCCCCATGGAGCTCGCCCTCTCACTCTCCACCCATCCCAAAGGTGTGCTGCTCCCTCCTCGCCCAGCCTCATCGTCTCTCCTCTCTTGCGCCTTGCCTCCTCCCCTCCCTCCCCCTTTTCCCCAATCACACACCCTCCATTCATGCTGCTTGTACACTACCTGGGCCCCCCCCCCCCCCCCCCCCCTCCCTCCTGGAGCACTGCATCACCTCTCCCCCTTCTGCCCGCCGCTTCCCCGTTTTACCCCCCTCTTCCCTTCCAGGTGGTGCGAGTGCACTACCCCGGCCTGCCGTCTCACCCCGAGCACCAAATCGCGCTGGAGCAGATGCATGGCGGCTATGGGGGCGTTGTCAGCTTCGAGGTGAGCGGGGAGTTGGTGAAGGGGAAGGGAGGGAAGGATATGGGGCTGGGGTGATGGCGGAGCTGCAAGTATAAGGGGGAGTGCAGCAGATGCATGGCGGCTATGGGGGCGTTGTCTGCGTTGGTGTGAGGCACTGTGCGCGTGGGGGTGACGGGACTAGATTGGATTGCAGGCGATGTTTGGCAGGTGTGTGGGCATCATTAGCTTCCATGGGGGTGGATGGGGAGCGGTTTAGCAGGGAGTGTGGAGTCATGGAGAGGATGGTGGTGCAGGGTTTAGGTTGGTGTCTCGTTCCCCTCTCTCATGCTGCCCTCATCACACAAATTCCCACAATCTATGGCGGCATTGTGGCACGGTGGCACGATGCATGGTGGCAGGTGGACGGGGATTTGGAGCGCACGTCACGCTTCATTGACGCACTCGACATTCCCTACATCGCTCCTTCGTTGGGTGGTGTGGAGTCACTTGTTGAGCAGCCCACCATCATCTCCTACTGGTAAGCCTCCATGCCTTTCTCCCCCCCCTTGCTCCTCTGGTGTCTTTTATCTGCTGAATGGGGCCCCCATGTTCAGACACCTGACCACACCGTTTACCTTCTCCCCCCCATCCCCTCTCCTTTCTGGGCTCTGGCTGGCTGGTACATTCGTGCAGGGACTACGGGCCAGAGGAGAGAGCAAGGCTGGGCATCAAGGATAACCTGGTCAGGTTCAGTGCGGGGATTGAGGACAGCAGTGACATCATCGCTGATGTGATGCAGGCTCTTGATAAGATATAGGATGAGTGCAGGGTGTACACACACAGCAGAGCCCTTTCCCAAGGGCATGGTTGCAAGTACACAGGGGATGCTTGCCTGATAGAGCGGCTTTACGAGCTAAGGCCACCAGGCTGGGCAAAGAGACATGGGCTTGTTCATCCATCATACTTGCTAGCTTAGGCTGCAGATCCAACTGACAGTTCAATCAGGGGGGGAGCAGAACTGTAGAATCTGCTTTCCTGAAATTATTCTTTGCACGTCCGCGTTAATACACTGTTTTGTTACACTGTTCCCCTCTCTGTCTCAATTGAAGCGACGAGGCGAGAATCCAGTCACTTTCAATCACACCTGGCAAATCTGGCGTCAGCACAAGTCTTCGTACCGCCACGTCACTCAGATGCTGGTCCACTTCGCGCGCCAGATACACTCTTCCGACCCGAATCCCATCTTTCAACACAACTGTTCACAGCTTGCGTGGCATGATATCAAAAGTCGCATCTTCGCGACTCGGGCGTTCATTCTGAGTCTCTTATTTTTCCCCAGTTATTTACGGTATTCCTTCAGCAACGGTACGCACGCTTCGCTCGCGCTTCACTGGCTGAATCAAGTGACTGGTTTGCACCACTTTGTCACACTTCTGCGGTTTCTCACAGAGGTGGGAGCGACCAGCCAGCACAGCCACCGACTGACATCCCATTCCCCCTGATCGCTTGGCTAGCAGTCACTCCTAATCCGTCTGGAGTGTTTGCCGCCACCGTCAAGCAGCCATGGCTACGCTAGCTTGCCCTAAGGCGTCTATCGCCTTCGTTGCTCGCACCAATGCCGCTTCTCGACCAGCGGCATCTGCGGCGGTTTCTGCGGCTCCCGTGAGCAGCAGAAGCGCTCGCCTTGCCGGATCCCTCTCCGTTTCCGCCGCCGCCGCTGCCGCCGCGTGCTCCGGCAAAGAGCTCTTCTCCACTCCTGTAGTCCACTCACGCGGGAATCACGGAGCAAGCCGCGCCGTGTCTCGCGGGGCTGTTCGTGTGGACGCCAGCGTGGCGCGGCGCAAGGTGCTGATCGTCAACACTAACGGCGGAGGCCACGCGGTGATTGGCTTCGCGCTGGCCCGTCAGTTGGCGACGGCCGGCCACTCGGTGACGATCATGACCGTTGGCGACCGCAACTCCGATAAGATGAAGAAGCCGCCCTTCTCGCGCTTCTCGGTGGGTTCTGTGCTGAGGGTACTATATTAATCATTCTTCAGAATTAGACAGTCAGAGCTCTTATACGACCCGCACAAGCTTTCCGCCATTGCGCACGAAGACGCGCACTCAACGGGAGAAAACCACACCATTTTACGCGCGTGTGACACATTAATCCCTCCACGTCCTCCCCCTTTCCCTTCCCGCCAACCGCACCTTACCCTTCGTCCTTCCCCGCTTCCCCTCGCAGGAGCTCCGCGCGGAGGGCGTGCGCACGGAGTGGGGCGACCCGGCGCGGCTGTCCACCGTGTTCGGCGCGACGGGGGGATTCGACGTGGTGCTGGACAACAACGGCAAGGACCTCGACACCGTCAAGTGAGTAGCCTCGTGACCGTCAAGTTTGGGCGCGTGACCGTTAAGTTTGGGCGCGCGTGACTGTTGGGTTTGAGTGCGTCTCAAAGGTCGACTGGAAAGGGGTTCCACGTGGTGCTGGACAGCAACGGCAAGCATGTGGAGAGTGCGTGGGTTCGCGCGGGTGAACGTCGCGCTTTAGTCCACTTGAACCAGACCTCGATACTCCATACCGAGATGTGCGTGGCTTAGCGGGGGATGACTGTAGCGAGGTTGCTCGCTCGCATCGTTGAATGCTCGGGAGTGGTGATCACCGTCGGGAGAACTGGGGTAGCACACAGTAGCACGGATAGTTTCGACCATCAAAAAGGTTATGACAGAAGCGTCTAGAGCTAAGCCACGTGGAAAAGAACGTCTTCTAAGCAGCGAATCAGGAGAGTCAGTGGAGGTTGGCTGCAACATCTCGTGGAAGCTGCCTTCTGCTGTGTCCACTCCCACTTCCCCATCCTCCACCCTCCCCCCCTCCCTCCCTTTGACTGCTCAACGTCTTCCCCCGCTGCTTCTCCTTCTCCCCCATCCCTTCCCCACTTTCCCTCCCCCTCCCCCTCCCCCACCCAACCCCCTCCCCCCCGGGCAGGCCCGTGGCGGACTGGGCGAGCGCGGCGGGCGTGCGGCAGTTCCTGTTCATCAGCAGCGCGGGCATCTACACGCCCTCCTCCGAGCCCCCGCACGTCGAAGGGGTGAGTGTGGCTTGTTTGCGGTGGTGGTGAATCAGTGGGAGCCCTCGTTCAGGCGTGTGAGCAGTAAGTGTGCAAGCACATCCAATCACACACGCTAAACCAGCTTTCATATCTCGGGCCGAATGCTCCCGTACCTGGCGGGCAAGGCGTGGGGCCCATGCAATCACGCCAGACAAGCATGATTATCCCACGCCACAAGCTGCCATACCTCACCTCACCTCATCCCACCTCGCCCCACCCTGCAGGACGCGGTGAAGGAGAGCTCGGGGCACGCGCAGGTGGAGAAGTACCTGGCGGGCAAGGCGTGGGGAGACGGGTGGGCTGCGTTCCGCCCGCAGTACATCACAGGGTCGGGCAACAACAAGGACTGCGAGGAGTGGTTCTTCGACCGTGAGTGGCGCCTGACCCGAGTGGCGCAGTCCACTTGGTAGAGTGAGAGAGTCTGAGACTGGGGCGATCAGGCCAGGGCGAGGCATGTGACATATCAGGGGGGCGGGTCAGAGGTCGAAGCTGCTCAAGTGGTTAGTCCACAAGGATCGTGGTGCTGTAGACACCGTTGTTTGCTGTGAGCAGCGCTTTTCTCATACACTGGTAGAGGGACATGCAGCAGACTCAGCGTACAGAACACCACCACTGTGTCACTTGTCTTGCTCTCCTCGTGCATGTGCGGCTCTTACCTTTTAGGAGCTGGAATCATACCTCCTCCTCCCCACCCCATGTCCCTATCCCCTGCATGTGCTGAGCAGGCATCGTGAGGGGGCGGCCAGTGCCCATCCCATCGCCGGGCATTCAGCTGACGGTGGTGGCGCATGTGGATGACATCGCGCGCATGATTGCCCTCGCCATTGACTACCCGCAGGTCCGCCCGCCACCCTCACCTCAGGTTGTTCAATCAAACACCACATGCTTTTTGAGAACCTTCCCTATGCTCGCTACCCTTCGTTCCTCTGAATGATCATCTGACCTCTGCCCATGCCTCCTAACCCGCCATCCTCACCCCTCTCCACATCCCCTGCAGGACGCCAAGGGTCAGATCTTCAATGCGGTGGGCGGCAGAGCGGTGACATTCGACGGGCTGGCTCGCATGTGCGCCAACGCTGCTGGCCGCGCCTCATCGCTCAAGATCGTGCATTATGACCCCAAGGCCGCTGGGGTCGATGCCAAGAAGGCTTTCCCTTTCCGGAACATGGTGAGACTCAATATTCACAAGCCCGTTTGTCGCATGGTGACCTAAATCCCATCAATGGGGGACACCTGGTGAGCTGTTGAGCTGGTTCTATGAGTAATATCTGGAAGATGGCTCTTTCTAGCGCATGTTTCACCTTATCCCTCGGCCTCCTTTGTTCTTCCTCCCTGCGCTCGCAGCACTTCTACTCGGAGCCCCGTAACGCACGGGAGAGGCTGGGCTTTAAGAGCTTTACGGACCTGCAGACTGTTCTGAACCAGCGGTACATTGACTATGTGGCGGCAGGGAGGGACAAGAAGGACGCCAAGTTTGAGGTGGATGATAAGATCCTAGCTTCAGCCAAGTAGACTGCTACAAGTGCACACTGAGATTTGTTATAGTTTTGTGGAAAAGTGAATTTTAGGAATGATTTGCAAGCAACACCACCAGGAAGTTGAAGGAGCAGCTGTGAGTGGAAAAGAAAGGCCATGCTCCCAGGCCCAGTACCCCAGGTTGTAGCATCACAACCTTTCTGCTGCGGTAGCCTGGAAGCCCAAGGCGGCATAAACCTCAAAAGGAGCTAAGATTCTTTCCAGTATGTCCACGCCACTTCGCGTTCAGCAGGATTCGAACCTGCGAGGGCGGAGCCCAACAGATTTCAAGTCTGTCCCGTTAACCACTCCGGCATGAACGCTTGCTTTCTAAGCAAGCCTTTATTTATTTATTCCTTTTATATTTCTGTTGCTCACACCACCGTTTGCTTTCGCCCTTCATCGTCTTCCTGCCACTCCCCCTGCCGATCACCGCCATTCCGACCCTCACCGCTCCGCCCGTCACGCTGCGATCATCGCGCGCCCGCCAGCATGAGCGGCATCGGCAGGGCGCTCTACAATGTGGGCTTCTGGGTGCGCGAGACGGGGCAAGCGCTCGACCGACTCGGGTGCCGACTGCAGGGCAAATACGCCTTCCACGAAGAGCGTGAGTCGCGTCGCCGATCTGCCTCGCGTGCTTTAGAAAGCTCTTCTGCGTGCCTCGGTGGTTGCGATCCAGGCGCTACGGCGATTCGGGGAAGGATAGAATTGTGGAGCGCTCTGGATTAGGGTTGCGGGATGGTTGACGGTCGAGATCGCGCAGGGATTGGGATGACCAGTCGATCGTGCCTTGCCACACTAGGACCGTTGATTTCGTCGATCGAACGGCTATCATTTCACTGAATGGGTTCTAGTGCGCGCCAGAGCCGTTGCAGGCGGAAAGCTTTGGGTGCTAAAAGGGGCGCCTCAGTGTCGCCTGGTCGCGGGAAGCGGCGACCGCTCTGATCGCCTCCGATCCGCCGCATCCTATCGTGCCGCATTCGGTCTCCGATTCCATTCCTGTCCACAACCATGCCCGTGGCCATGTGCATAGTCCTGGCCGTGTTGACTCCTCTCCTGCACTAGCGACCACCGTCACCACCCCTATTTTTCAAACTCCCTTCCCCCTTCCTACTTACCATGCCTCCCTGTTTTTCCTCGCCCCACCCCTTCGAATTCGCCTCCTTGTTTCCGCGTGTTCCCCCGGTTTCATCCTCGCTTCCCGTCGTTCCCGCGCGCCGCAGTGTCGCGGCATCGCACCATCATGAATCTTTTTGACAAGCTGCCCGAGGTGCCCGCAAACGCCTTCGTGGCGCCGAGCGCGGCTGTGATTGGCGACGTGCAGATCGGGCAGCGATCGTCTGTGTGGTACAACGCCATTCTTAGAGGTAAAGCCCTCCCCTGCCATACCTTCCCTACCATATTCTACCCGTTCCATACTTTTCCTTCACCGTACAATACCCTCCGCATGTCAACACCTTTACACACCTCCTTACCATACCACTTCGTAACCCTACCTCTCCCTTACCATACTTCTTCACCATTACCCCCCCTTTAGCATACCCCCCCCCTTACCATAAAACTTCTTTACCATACCTCTTTTGTACCATCCTTCCCCCTTGCTATACCTCTTCTTTACCGTACCTCCCCCTTGCCATACCTCCTTATGACCATTCCTCCCCTTTACCATACCTATCTGCTCCCATGCCTCTCCTCCACAAACCTCCCCATTGCCCCAGCTTCATGCCCCCACCACCGCGCCTCCTACTCGTACACCGCCCTTCACCACTGCCCCGCGCTCCACTCCCCCTTCCCATTCCACACTCCCCTCCTGCCTCCACTCACCAACCCCCCACCACTCCCCCTCCCCCTCCGTATCTGCTCCGTTACTCTTGATGCGACCTGGCTCACTCCCCATCGTTTCTCCCGCGCAGGCAACGTGAACAGCATCATGCATTTCCCAGCCCCCCATTCCGCTACCCACCACCCCATTCCGCTACCCCACCACCCCCATCCCACATTCACACTCCCCCTTCCCCTCACCTTCTCCCTCCCCCTCCCCGCCTGGCAGGCGACGTGAACAGCATCCGCGTGGGCACAGACACGAACATTCAGGACGGCTGCATCGTGCACGTGGCAAAGACCAACCTCGCTGGCAAGATCCTGCCCACCATCATTGGCTCGCGCGTCACTGTCGGTGAGTCATGCATGTCGCTGGGTACCAGGTGAGCCCTGCTGCTGAGGTTGCTGCTGCTCGCGGGCTGCATCGTGCACGTGGCAAAGACCAACCTCGCCGGCAAGATCCTGCCCACCATCATCGGCTCGCGCGTCACAGTCGGTGAGTCATGCTGCTCTCTGGGGCACACTGAGTAGCATCAGCAGAGCTTGATACTCGGTGAGCCATGCAGCTTTCCGCGTGACTGTCTCTGCATGCGCTGATGCTCTCTGCTGGGCTTTAGTCAACTGTTGTCCCCTTCTGAAGCCATGAAGCTACCTCGGAAATATGCTCATCTCCTCCCCCGTGGCCCTCTTCCCTTTAATTCTTTTAGGTCACAATGCGATATTGCATGCGTGCACGGTGGAGGACGAGGCGTTTGTGGGCATCGGAGCCACGTTGTTCGATTGTGCTCTGTTTCACCTGTAAAGTCAAGTCGCGTTCACCCTATTTTCTCCACCCCTTCCTCCCACCAGGTCACAACGCGATACTGCATGCATGCACAGTGGAGGACGAGGCGTTTGTGGGCATCGGAGCGACGCTGCTGGATGGGGTGGTGGTGGAGTCGGGCGCCATGGTGGCTGCCGGCGCACTCGTCGTGCAGAACACACGCATTCCATCAGGGCAGGTGGGTCTCCTCTTGCTATCTTGGTGAACTCATGCATCTCAGTTTAAGTCGGTGGTGGGACTAGGTGGGTGGTGGTGGGTGGTGACACGCTGGTCGTGCAGAACACCCGCATTCCTTCGAGACAGGTACGGTGGGCATGCCACGTGGGTGCTCCTCTTGCTTTTTGATGAGGGTGGAAAGCCAGGTGGGGTGGTAGTGGAGTCAGGTGCCATGGTGGCTGCTGGTGCCCTCGTCGTGCAGAACACGCGCATTCCCCCGGGCCAGGTGGGTCTGCTCTTGCCATGCACCCTCAGCTGGGCCAAGTGGGTCATGCGGCTAGGTGTGGTGCAGGGTGGTGGAGTCGGGTGCCATGGTGGCTGCTGACGCTCTTGTCGTTAAAAGAGCCATGTGCCTTAGGCCAGGGGGAATACGCTTCTTGCTACCGTAGTCAATGCGTGAACCCTCAATGCAGCTGGGAGGGCAGGTCTGGCAGATGGTGGGGCCATGTGGATCTTACCCCTGCATCACACCTTTATTTCCCCCGCATCCTTGCGTAGTTTCCCGCTTTCACAACTATCATTTTTGACAGCCTTATAACCCCATCCGCCCCTCCCTCCAACGCGTCCCTCCCTCTTGCTCCCGCTCAGATCTGGGCAGGGTCGCCTGCCAAGTTCTTCCGCACGCTGACGGCAGCCGAGAGGGCATTCATCGCCAAGTCAGCAGAGAGCTATGCCAGCCTGGCAGAGGTACACGCCAAGGAAAACGCCAAGAGCTTTGAGGAGGTGGAGGCGGATAAGAAGCAGAGGGAGGGGTGGGCCAACTACAGTGAAGACTTCGTTTCTAGTGTGGGCGCTGTTGTGGATAAGCCGCCTGTTCCTGGTCCAGTCAAGCTGGCTTAGGCAGGGAATGGGATTTGTGCGGCGTAAGCTTGAAGCTCGGCAATTGACGTCAACTCTGGAGGTTGCTCGTCTAGGTGGTGAAGTTCTAGAACGAATTCAATATAGGATGGTTAGGTGTATACTTCCAACTGGTTGCCCTCCATTGCCTTTGCATGGTCCCTCTATGGTCTGCAAGGTACCATTGTGTAACATTCTTTGCTGATAAGACAACAATTGTTGTACAAATAGGAGTAAGGCTGGGAAAGTGTACCTCCCTGTAAGATGTTTTGGGTGCTATAGTTTCATCGAGGTGCGATATACCGGCACGAATGTGAATGCGACCCTTCTCATCGATCTTCCACACCCATCCAGTGGAGGACTCCGGGATCATGGCTGACTACACAGAAACTTGCCAGCCGATTTCGCGCAAACGCAGTGCGCACTCTTTACAAGGCAACCTTCCGCCATGCGATTTTTCCCATGCTGCTAATGATCCGAACTTATCCGGAAACAGAAGCCAGTGCGTACTGTCGCCATTGGAAGCCAAGGGTGGTGCTTCGGAAGGGATCGTGGCAGGGCTTGTATCGCGGATAGAGAGAGGGGAATCGGTTCCGCCGTTTAAAAGAGCGAGAAAATCAGTTGATGACGGAAGCAATCAGGCTGACGTAGAAGCTAACGATGCGCGAGGAGGTAGAGTCAGGGTTGTACCGGGAACGAGGACCGACAATGAGGCGGAACAATCTGCATTGCTGGAACCACAAGAAGGTCCCGGAGAAAGGGATGTGAGAGTGAAAACGGATGGGGAGGAGTCTGGCGCCGTGGAAAATAAAGGTGCAGTCGTTTCGAGTCACATTGACAAATTTGCAATCGAGGCTGAGAATCGAAAACAAGATGGTGGGACAGGAAAGTTGGAGAAGGAGGAAGGCAGGCAGCTATGCTTATTGGAAGAGAAGGGTAAGATGACATGGGAGCAGCGGTGGATGGTGGCAGCAGTGGATGCAGTGATGGGGAGGTTGGTGCATGCGGAGGAGGAGGAGGTGGCTCGACTGCTCGTGGCGCAGCAGAGACAACTGAAGGTGCGTGAAGCGGAGACCCGTTGCCTGCAGATGATATGCATAATGAGCGTTCTTTTTTTATTAACCTTTTCCGTCAAACCCGACTACGGCTCAACCAGATCACATACAATTTTCCATAGACCTCACTCTCCCTCTTCCGTTTCTTCCTTCAGGCGAATGCAGCAGTGACAAGAGCAGGAGAAGCAGCCTTGGAGGCTAGGCAAGCACATTGCAACTTGGAAGAAGCACGGAGGCAGGCCGTGGTGGATCTTGGAACAAGCCAAACTGCGCTCGAGGAAGCAAAAATGCATCTGGGGGATCTCAAGACAGCACGGCAGCAGCATGAGGAGTTTCTGGAGAAACGAATCGTTCAGCAGAAGCTTGTGGTTGAGTGTGCACTGAAGCAATTGCAGGTCCGGGGCCACTATGCAAAGTTGCGTGCAGTCTTCTGCAATCTCTGCGCTAATCCCCTCCTTTGCGGTACCTGCCCTTCTCTCCTACTCTGTTGGTGCTTGCAGAATGTAGCTAGAAGGATTGCCAAGGAAGAATCAGAAGTTGGTGCCATTGGGGAAGAAGTGACCAAGTTGAATAGCAGCTGGATTCACCTTGCAGCTGAACAGCAAAAACTTCATGAGCTTCTAATGACTTTCTCAAATACCGTACGTCCTTGAAGTTTTGACACTGGAAGAATACCCTAGCCTTCGGTACGAAGTTCACTATCTATGAAATTCCATCTTTAAAATACAGCATGCATTAAAAGGACAGAATCTAGACAATAACATCTGCATCTCCTAGAGCAACTCCCTATCGTTTAACTTCTAGGGAAGACATCGAAACACTCATGTTTCGCTTTGCTTGCTACTGCGCTTCTTTGCTTCACTGTACAGCACAACCCCAATGACTGTAATGCTGTAGCCGATCATTCCCACCACCGTCACAGGATTCCTGAAGAGGAGGATGGATACAACCACGGCAACAGCGCCTTTCGCATTGCCAAGAACCTGCAAGAATGATAACGAGTGTTAGGCAGGAGCTAAATCCGAACAGAAGAAGTGCCCATAAGGTGGACTGTGAACTTACCTGCAGTGTCAAAGGGCTCGTGTACTTGGTGACCAAGAAATTGGTGAGATTCACAAAGTATGCTGTTGCCGAGTTGATAGCCAGCAAAGGAAGGATTCCCCAATCTTCCTTAGCTTGCTTGATTGTAATGCCAAGCACATTGTCCTCCATGATTAAAGTGGCTGGCACCAGCAGCACCACAGCTATTGGAGCCATGTAGAGTAGAAGGTTCATGGAGTTCAGCTTTTCCCTGCAGTCATGTTCAAACATAAATCAGAATGTGTAGAGTAAAATGCTGGGTAAGAAACAAAAAAGAACTTACCCATCAGACTGCAGGAGCAAACCCTGCACCACTGTCTTCAAGGCTCTAGCTGCGGTAGCTGCGATGCAAATAATGAACCCATAAAGATGGAAGCTCGGCTCACTCTGGAAGCACAAGAAGGAGAAGAGACGTAAGTTTTGTGATCATTTCTAGAGTGTAAGGAAGCTAGCTCGTAAGAGAATTCACTCACCCCACTGGCAATGACAACTCCCATGACCACTGGTATCAAGGCAGCATACGTCACCCAAGCTTCCCGTTTAAATGTCATAATGTACGCAAAGAATGCGGTGAAAAACGGAGTTGTGGCCCCAATCGCTTGATTGAAGGACACTGGGAGGTATTTCAGCGATATGTTCCCACTGACCACCGAGAAGCAGAATATGGCACTCAGAGCTGCAATCTTGAGGAATTGCGACCTTGACCTTATTGCCTGCAAGCCAAGCACGTACGGGAATTCTCAAGACCCTGGGGATGAGTGGATAGTCCAGCATAGTGAACCCTAACATGCGTGAGTAATAAGTACGACGATCAACAGCTAGTGGCTATCATGGCAAGTCATCAAGATCAACAGCCTCAAAACTCCATGCATTTGCTGGCCCAGGAGCTCACCCACCTGCAACGGTACAAGCTTCATCCATGCAATCGCTATGTAGCTGAAGAGTGAGCATGCAGCCATGTGACACATTGTCAGGAAGATGGGGTACTTGTAGCCATAATTGCTGAGTAGAAACTTGTTCAGCAGCAGAACGCCGATATTGCATATGTACCACGATGCTATCAACCCCAAAGTAAACCAGCTAGTCGACCCCTTGCCCTGTTGAGTCTTATCCTGCATAAAAACGAAAACGAAGCTCAGGATTCGCTCTGCTATCAGATCCTTCACGTAAGATAAACGAAGCGTACCTCGACAGCCATTGTTCTCGCAAAGGAGCCGATCACATTCAAAATCGTTAACCTAAGCGACCCCTACTACTAGCAGAATTTTACATTAACAAGAAAACGGGGAGCCAAGAAGGAACGCCATGGACTTGCAACTAGTACAGACCCTTCCAAGCGAAGGATCTCGGAAATGCACGACTAAAGTGACCGCTCCCCACCGAGAAACGCCTGCTGCATTCGAGATACCCGAGGTGGATCAACGTAGGGAGCGAGATTTGGACTTCAGAACCAGAACTAGGAACTAGCTGACACCCGTAACTTTCCCGCCCTCCTGGTTTAGAAACAATTCGATTTAGGGGGTGACACCAACGATCCCCACCCGATTTAAAGCCCGCGGCCTAAATTGCGGGCCGCGCGCGTCAAGCTTTTAAAACTTGACGACGTGCAGTGTTCAACCTTTGAAAACTACCGCACTTGCAATTTGGGACTTTCAGGACAGCCCAACCCCCAGGGCGAAATACGAGGGATTGCTGTGTTTGGCGAAACTAACGAAAAAAACGAAATTGGGAATCACTCGCCTAAACCCAGACTGGAAAAACCCCGCGCGTCAACTTTTAAAAGCTTGTGCAATTTGGGCCGCCGGCTTTAACTAGAAGTCTACAAAATCATTCTCTGTCTCCAACGCATACCTAGTACCATAATCTCCTGTATTTATCACCCAACGGAGAAAAAAGGTACTGTGAGAGACCTGCAATAGGGATCCCCCTATGGACGGGTTACAGGCACGGTCACTTGGAGAGTTATGGGCGCACTTAACCGCTCCACAAACACGCCATTTTATCCGAGTAGTCAAGTGATTAGGATTCAGACATAGTCTCCGAACAAAATGAATCGGGATCGAGTCTCCCGTGTACATACATGCAGGCGCCGCCGCGCCTATGCCGTATCCTGGGCCTCCCAGTATGGTGGGGTGTTAAAGTTATGTATAATCTGCTTGTTGTTTGTTCTAGTGTAGTTATATGGTGGTGCACTTCCCTTGCTACTTAAATAGATCTTGTTTGTGCACCATAGTGAACCTCCTACCGTATAGTTCCGGCTAGAAGACCCGGGGGACTCTCTAGAATTGCTTGAAAAAATGCTAGGGTGGACATCTTGGCGGTTGCAAAATTTTTAGACCCGAGGTACACTTATTTATCATCTATCAATCTGTTTTTTGGGGTGTACGGCTCAATTTCGGGCGGGGGGGGGTGGGGGGGGGGGGGGGGGGGGGGGGGGTCTTATATTTGTAACGAATTCGCGCTAGCGAGCGGCGCGTCAGATCTGTGTCAGAATTCGAGTCTGACACAAGTAAAGTGTCAGAATTCGAGTCTGGCACAAAAAACGTGTACGAATTTGAACTTGTTCCAGTAAAAACTGATGCACAATAGCAAATATAACCACTGTATACAGAAAAGGGGGGTCTTATGATGATTAGAGGCCAAGGGGGGGTCCTCACAATATCTGCCACAATAAGAGTCCCCCTACCCGTTCAAGAGTCCCGGGGGACTTTCTTACTGGCGGGTCTTTTAGCCGGAACTATAGGGTACTTGGTCAATTCATCTCGCCACTCACGCTACTCTCAACATTTTAAACCCTAGCTATGGCTCCACTTGATCTCCTATTGTGACAGGTGTCGGAGACCTGCATAGGAGTGTCTACGTCTTTCTCAACTGTTACTTACGAGAAGTTCACCCACAGCTCCACCTCCGGTGCAAGGTCCATATCGTCGTGCGCCTCCATCTAAGCGGTCTTAGAATCTTAGGCATGAAGTTGTGTGGAATTAGGGTTTGGAGGGGGATACAAAACAAGTGTCGAGAAAATATGTGTACCCCCTAAGGCTAGACCCAGTACTATAGCCTACATAAATGTTACACATATAATTTGACACACCCCCATAGGCGAAGTGGGGGATAGCCAGCACAAGGGGTCACAAGACCAGTCAAGCAAAGCAAACCAAAGCAAAGCTCAGGGTGGATCACAACGTCACCACACATTCTGAGCAAAGGTTCAAGGCCTCAAGGCCGGTTCACATGCAGGATGATATATAGAGGTAAACAAACAAGAGCAGATATATATAAGACACAGTACAAGTAAGGTCAAGAAGTGAGCAAGTGAGGCCAAGTAGGCACAAGACCTAGCATAGTACAAAAGCGCTGATGATCGCAAGGCGGAAGAGCCTTGGTGAAGATATCAGCAGTGTTGGCCCGAGTGGCCACGTAAGCAAGGCGCAGCTGACCACGCTGCTGCAGCTCACGAGCAAGGAAGTAGCGAAGAGCGATGTGCTTCGTTCTATGCTCCAGTCTGTGCTCCTGACACAAGGCGAGCATGGCCTTGTTGTCTACGTACAGAACTGGAGGAGAACGAGGCGGCTCTCCAAGGTCAGTCAGCAGGTAGGTCAGCCAGCGTAACTCCTGTGCAGCCATGGCTCCTGCGTAGATCTCAGCCTCACAGCTGGAGCTGAGAACAGAAGACGAGCGAGTAGACCGCCACGAAACAGAGCCGGAACCAAGGCTGAAGGTGTAACCCTGTGACGACCGCTGCGTAGCCAGGTCGTCGACCCAAGACGCGTCTGCGTGACCAGTGAGGACCACTCGACTCCGCCCTCCAAGCACGAGCCCCATGCCCGACGTACTGCACAAGTAGCGCAAAACCCTCTTCGCTGCAGCCATGTGCTCTGGTCGGTGTCTCCCAGGAGCAACATAGCGTGCCAGGATGCTAAGAGGGTAGGCCAGGTCAGGTCGAGTGCAGGTCATCAGGTACATGAGGCAGCCAACAAGCTCTGGGTACGGGCCACTCGGCTCTACAGACTCATCCGAAGGCAGAGCTGAGAGCGAGTGGCGAGTAGACAGAGGAGTGGCCTGAGGCGAGGAGTAGCGGCATAGTCGACAAGCTCAGCGACTAAGGCAGACGCAGCAGTAGACTCAAACGACGGGTCAGTGACAACAGTGGCTAACAGACGCGTGACAGTGGGGTGCTCAGCGCGAAACCGGTCAGACTCAGGGTCCGGAACGACAGGCAGAGAGGACGCAGGTGGGGAAGGCAGAGGAGCAGGCTGCGGAGCAGAGGAAGGACGACGGACGACAAGGGGACAGTCTGCTGACGCGCACGAGCGACACGACGACCGGTACGACCAGAACGAACAGGAGAGACAGGACGCGACGCAGGCTCACGACGCTCAGCAAGACTACCTGTCTGCTCAGTGTAAGGAGAAGGAGCAGGCAGCGGTGAGCCAGCCGGTAACGGAAGACCAGTGGACGACGGGAGAGTAAGAACCTGACGAAGAAGAGAGTCAGGCGGCGGCAGCGACGACGGAGACGGCGGAGCAAAGAACAGTCGTGTCGGCGCAGCTGTACCAGCTCCGGCAGATCCAGC